TGTAAGCCATAAATATCGGTGTTTTGAACTGCGACATATTAGTTAGTTGTCAAATCTAATGTCAAAAAGAACGTTTGTATGGGAAATAGAAAAGGGCTATTTTTATGGTTTTTCCGGTAATGAATCAATTTTTTTCAGCTTTTATACCTTCCCTGAACCTCCACAAACATTTCAAGACTAAGATAAGATAAATCCGTTCAGCTGTTCTCAAGTTTTAGCGAGACTAAGGAACAGCAATCCATTTTTATATATATAGAAGATTATAAAAAAATAAAAATTTCGTCCGAAAATAAAAAATTAAGGGTGAAAAGCCCTTATCACTTAGGAGTATGAAAAATAAATGTTGGCCGATTCTCAGACCTACTCGACATGCTCATAAAATTTCATCAAAATCGGTCCAGCCGTTTCGGAGGAGTTCTCTGTCTAACACCGGACACGAGAAATTTATATATAAGATTAAAAAAACTTTTTAATTAATAATCGTGATTAGAAATATTTTTACACACTCATTGTTGCAATATTATCTTTATACAAATTATCAATTTATAAATGAATGAGTATAAATTATCTATATCAAAAATGACAATTAAATATTTTTTTATCTATATTTCTCTTTTTTAAATATAATATGTGTAACGGCTGGACCGATTTTGACGGGAATTTTACTCACATATAGATATTGAGGTTAGGAGTACCGTAGCCTACTTAGTGAGTTTAAAAGTTAGGAATTTAAATTCAACTAAATATTTGTTACTACTCCTTCAATAAAATTGAATTAAAAATTATTTTTTCATTTGAAATCACAAATTCCTATAGTAATTCCATTCTCACCAAATTATGTTCTGATGGATGGAGAACAAAAATGTCAAATAAAAACTCAGTATTAAAATGTAGGCAATGTCGCAGTACAAACTTATATAAGATTTAATAAAATCATTCATCATCAGCCTATCAGACCCCACTGCTGACCAAAGGTCTCTTCTCACATGGAGAAGGTTTGAGCATTAATCACCACGCTCGCTCAAGACGGGTTGGTGATTTCAAACTTATAATTGTGAAATTATAAGTCCAGGCTTCCTCACGATGTTTTCCTTCACTGTCTAGCAGTGGTGTCTAAATAGTCTTAAAAAGTGCATATGACATAGAAAAATCACATTGGTATATGCCAGGTTTCGAACCCGCGCCCTCGTGCATGAGATGTAGACCTTAAACGACTAGGCCACCACGACTCGACTAAAATAAAAAAATGTTTCGCAAATCAATCAATTTTCATGCATGTAGAACAATTATCTTGGCTATATTTAACCTTACGAATTGTTAATTTCCATACAAACTAATTCGTCTCGGTCTAATTTAAGCGCCATTTTATTTATTACAAATGACGCACAAATACTGTGCCATCTGTCAAAATCTCGATAAATAAAATGTGTAACAAAAACTAATTTTGGAATTTCCGTCATTGTATCTATTTTTAAATATACTAAAAGTAATCTACGTTTTATTTAAATAATTACAAAGCAAACTAATAAACTATAAAAGAGCTTATTCATTTGTAAGCAGTTAAGCACATAAGCACAATGGAATGTTAAGATTTCCGCCTAGCATGTTTTGACAAAAAACATCCTAAATACTACAAACAAAATAGATAAGAGTAAATACTACTATTTGTAGAGATAAAAAATACACATAATATATTATATATCATCATCAGCCTATCAGAGCCCACTGCTGAGCAAAGGCCTCTTCTCACATGGAGAAGGTAAGCATTAATCACCACGCTCAAGATGGGTTGGTGATTTCAAACTTATAAATGGAAATTATAAGTCCAGTTTTCCTCATGATGTTTTCCTTCACCATCTATCAGTGATGTCTAAATACTCTTAGAGAGAAAATATGCCTTGGAAGAATCACATTGGTACTTGGCAGGTTTCGAATTCGCATCCTCATGCATGATATACATATATAATTATATATACAGAACCTTTTTGGTAATATTATAGATTAATAATAAAACTACCGACCCAATTAGTAGCATGAAGAGAACCAGTCAAGATAAATTCAACGAGCCCAAACTCGATGGGTTTACTAAAAGGCAATCCAGGGTTGGCTCCTATCTTCGATCCCTAACAGCAGACCAGCTCAGTGGTTCCAGAAGACATTAGTATTTCAAATGTCAGATCTCACATATGCTTGCAAGCAAAATGTGTGTATAACATTCCTATCACACCTAACAAACCACCCGATGACCTTGACGACCTGAACCGATTTCCACTAAACATAGCTAAGAATACTAACATTCCCAAAGAGGGTTGATGTCAGGTAGGAAGCCAGTATCCTACCTGACGGATCCTGGCCCTTGCAAGTACCAATGTGATTTTTCCGAGTCATATATACTTTCTAAGAGTATTTAGATACCACTGATTAATGCATTCCCACAGAGGGTTGACGTCAGGCAGGCGGCCGGTCGTAAAAACAATTAGCCAAAACTATTTACAACATGTAAGGCAGATACTGGCTAAAGCTGGGAAATTGCCACGAAGAAGATAGCTAAGAACACTCTAAACAGATATAAATTTCAAACAAAAAAACTCATTAAAATCGGATCATTCGTTTGGGAGCTATGTTGCCTCAGACACACATACACACTCACACACAAATACACACACACACACACACAGACAAATCAAACTTAAAACACCCCGTCGTTTTTGTGCTCGGAATAAAAATACTATATTCAATATAGTCGACCTCTCTTACATAAATTCAGAGAGAGATTTTTAAGTGTTAAACCCAAGTATGTTGTTGACCTAGTTTCATATAAAATCCAAATTACTACAAGTTACTGACTAGATACTGGTAGTTTAGAGTTTTTCCTTCCTTTATACACGATAGTACTAAGAAAGAGACATGATTGTCTGTTTTAGTGTGCTTGTAAGATTAACTTGTATGACTTTACCGTTATTAGAAATTTTATAACCCTTGATATAAATATTACGACCCTTATTAGAAATATTTTTTACCCTTATTGGAAATCTTATATGATATTAAATAATATTTTCAATATTAATCCAACAGAAAGTTGATCCGTTTTCAGCATTTATATAATGTAGATATTATCAAATATTGTTTTATACAAATTTCTGTACATTGTAATTCTAAGGAAAGATTTATCTGAACAACTGGTAAGTAGAATAAAAAGAAAATGACACAATTATACATTAATATTATAAACTACTTAACAGATTTTGATAAAAACATGTCTTTATATAGATACTGAGTACTAATAAGACAGATTCTATTATATTGAGCTATATAATGTTGTAAATTAGCAAGTGAAGAGAGGTAAAATATTATATATTCTTAATAAATATGGGAAACCTCAATTACCTAGATTTAAGGAAACTAAGAGGTATTCCATTTTAAATAATAAGGAAAAAATATGTATATGTATATAAATATGCTGAACATAGTGAATAATATTAATAATAATAGGTATACTATTAAAATTATTAAGCAATTTAAAATCAATTTATTTAAAAAGAAATCTTTAGCATCTTAATATAAATAAACAACCTTCTTTGTAACTAAATTGGCAGAATAAACTGTGACCCATTTCATTGTATAGTAAATAATTAATTTATTAAAACTAAAAATCTGATCAAACTGGTTCCTTGGTAATAAATATATAGAAAATGTGAAATAAAAATAATATTCAATACAAATGAAACAAAAATTAAGTACAATAATAAATGTACAATTCAAACATCAATTTATTGTATAACATTAAATATAGAAATAAAAATAAAAAAAACTATGCTGCCAAAATTAATTTTTAAATATTTTCTATTAAGTGATAAATTTGAATACTGAATAATAAAATAATAATTTGGAATAACGTAAGTGTTTCTGATTACAATAATAAAATGCTGATTAATTTTTTTCATAGCATAATATTTTAACAATATAAAGGAGGAGGATTTTTTTTACTATTAGTAGTGTGTCTGACGAAACGAAGCAACTTAATGGTTTTCTTGTATATTTATAATTTATTATTATATTAATACGTGAGAAATAAATAATATATAAAAATATACTTTCTTAATCTAATATAAATAGGTTATCTTAACAAATATTTTAACTTCGATTTTTTTTTACTCTCAACTATTCACCGGCGTAAACCAACAGCCTAAAGTATACGATATGCAACCATAGATTACTATCACTTAACCTAAAAGAAATATATCAAAATGACTTACCAAAAAACTTCTTCCTGTCTGGAATTTACACAGTTACAAGAAATTATAATATTTTAATGAAATATTTAAATAATATATGTACCCGATCATACGATGCGACCGAAACTACGAATTAGATTGTTCATTGACAATTGACTTTTACAAGATTTAGAAAGTGTTGCCGAAACAAAAATCAAATTAAAATCGACATAATATGTAATTTATTTTAGGAAATACCTACAAACAAAGATATTAAGAATATAGATCATCAGTAATATAAAAGTTACAGTCCAAAAACTATGAAATTAAGGTCCCTTGTAATAATTAACTTTTCCAAATGATTTATATATTTATATTTATGGTCTCCGATATTAATAAATAGCTTATTTTGTAATCATTTTTTTTACATTTTGTTGAGTCTTCCTTCAAGCATCATTAAAAATGGAAAACGAAACTGCGAATACCAAAAATTAGTTGTCAAACTTTTTACTTACTTCATACTTGACACAAGTCACGACTATTATGCTACAAACATAACAAATACCTAAATATAACAATTAATGGATTATGAATGTATTCATAAAATATTTTATTTTGTAATAATCTAAGTACAAACGTTTAAAAATAATTTATGTTTACCGTTACTTCCGCAAAAAAATTAATGGCAATAATATTATCTTGCAAATGTAATGTTTCGATTTAAAACATTTTTATTTGAATTAATTAGTTATTAATTAAGCGATTTATTATGTGTGGAAGAAGAAAATGAATAATTTGGAGATAGACGAGAATATCCTGGTTTCATGTAGAGTGTGTTTGAAGAAGAATAGAAAAATGAAAGATTTATTTGATGAAGCAAAAGAGATTGTAAATAAAATAGAATTCTGTACAGGAATTTTGGTAATTCAATAAGACAAATTAATTACTATTTTTTATTAATTATTTAAAAACCTTTTAATGTCGCGTAATAACAAGTTAATAAAATAAATTTATTGTTTTTAATAAAGAATTGTAATAAGGAAGCCTTTAAGTCATATTTTAGTACATATTTAAAACTTTTATTAATGTATTATTATTTCAGTTAAAAGACGATTCGGAACTTCCAAAAAATATCTGCAACATCTGCATCAGAAACCTAACTGTTGCGCATAAATTTAAAACAAGATGCATTCTCTCCGAGAGAACTCTGCAGAACTTGTTAGATGTGGAAATAAATATCAATAGCAATATAAAAGACTTGGAAAACTGCAAAATAGAGCTCAAGACAGAGGATTTATATGAAGAGGCATCAAACTGTGGATCGGTGAATGGAATAAATAATGTAAAAACTATAAAAACCGAATTGAATGAAAACAATTTACTGACAGTTGAAAGTGAAAGGTATTTTTTTTTTGTATAAATTTACAGCCAGTAATATTAATATATATAATACAAATGGCATAAATAGGTTTTATATGTTCTATATAAATATTAATTGCAAGCTTTGAGTTTTGGTAGTAATCATTTTACAGAAAAATATTATATTATAGTAGCATTATAAAAATATTGACGAACCTCTGGTTTGTTCCCTCCAAGTATGAATGCTTATTTATTAAACATTCTTAGTTTTCTTTTTAATAATCTTCTTAATGTAATAGTTTTTAGACTGAATCAACTTTAGTTGTTCTACCGAGTCCTTCATGTACTAGATGATTTCAAAGAAAATGCTATTTAATATTGATAACAGAAGCCATATTGATAGTTTAATTCAACATTTTTAATTCTTTTTGTTAGTTACAACCTTTAAACTATAATCTTGTATAATCACTTCTCGGTTTGATCACCTTGTGCAGTTAATAACACATGTTGAACTATTTCTTCAAACCTAGTTCTTAGATAAAAACTAATGAGTATTTGAAGAATCTAACTACGGAAGTTTTAAAGCCATTTATCTTAAATTCCCCAACTTTAAAGGTTCTCCTAGAACAGCATTTCTCAAAATGCTGGCTTTGTGTGGAGGCCTGGTGTAATTTATTACATTTAGCTATTATAAAATATAGTGGTTATACAGTAACTGAAAAATAATTTATTTTCAAAGTAGACAGGAGACAAGTTTGGGAACCGCTGTCTAGAGGCTTAATTAAAATTAAAGTCAGTGGTGGCCTAGTGGATAAAGAGCCCGCCTCTTATGCATGAGGGCGCGGGTTCGATCCTGGCTAGTACCAATGTGATTTTTCCGAGTCATATGTACTTTCTAAGAGGATTTAGACATCACTGATTAATGCATTCCCAAATAGGGTTGATGTCAGGCAGGCGGCCGGTCGTAAAAACAATTAGCCAAAACTATTCACAACATGTAAGGCAGACCCTGGCTAAAGCTGGGAAATTACTGGGCAAAAAAGTGTCTAGAGGTTTAATTAACTTTTTTTACCCATTGACTTAACACAATTATAGTATTTTATATATAGTTTTAATTGAAAAAATAATGTTTAAACTTTATTTCTCTCATGATTAAATACTACATTTTAATGATTTTCAATTACAGGGAGTCACCAAAAGCCAAAAAGACACCAAATAAACGGGGTCCATACAAAAAAGTTGGTCCCAAACGGCTCAAGAAGTTGAAATTCAGGAAGCTGGCCTGCGAGCCGTGCGGACTGAAGTTTACTGATAAAAGACAATCTGATGATCACAAGTTACAACACAAAGAGGAACCATGGATATGTGAGGTTGGTATATATTGACAATTAATATACAGGGTGACTGGTGAATTACTATCAATACTTGAGGACGTGATATTTGACGATCATATATGACAAAATAAAAATTAATATAACATAAATATTAATAAACTTCTAAGTAAAGTTAACCAAAAGATATGTAATTAATTACGCATCGTGTGAACACCCTACAGATTGGGTATACACACACACAAACACGCGTGCGGCGGCGTGGTGTTGTATCAGCACGCCGCCGCACGCGTCCACACTTGGAACACTTGGAACGTGTCCACACTTTATTTATTTATACGGAAATGTGGTCAAAAATTAAGTACCTATTTTTTTACATAATTCGAATGAGAATCATGTACCGAGTATTCTCCTTAAATATTGATAGTAATTCACCAGTCACCCTGTATATTGACAATTAATATATATTATTTATTATTGAATACATATTTTGTATTCGCTAATGCATGATTGAACAAGTTACAGCTTGTACGCACCATCACTACATATTGTGTTCAACGCGTAGAGTATTGTTTTGATTCTGATTACTTAGTTGGAATTTGAATTTGTACTTCAGAGTACATATACGAGGTGTGTTCAAAAAGTATCGCGACTTTTGAATTTTTTCGGGTTACGTATAATCGAATTTCGATTTTTTTGTGGCGTTATGTTGGTACTCATGTCTGTCACTTATGCCGACAAGCTCGGCCATTTTGAATGTTCACTTAATTGTTGACACCTGTTTTGCTTGCACGTGTTTTGGATCGTCTTCGATTTTTACCATGGATCAAAGAACCTGTATCAAATTTTGTGTGAAAAACGAAATTAAGTGCGCGGATGCATTCCGAATGTTGACTGTGGCATACGAAGCTACGTTGGACCGAAGCGACGTTTATCGGTGGCACAAAATGTTCTCAGAAGGCCGAGAAGATGTGGACGACGAAGAGCGTGCCGGACGCCCGAACACTTCAACAACAGACGAAAAAATTAATGAAGTGGAGAAAATGGTATTGGCCAATCGTCGAATCACCGTTAGAGAAGTTGCTGAGGACCTAATCAATTTGGGCATGAGACACACTTTGATAAATGGTAAAAATCGAAGACGATCCAAAACACGTGCAAGCAAAACAGGTGTCAACAATTAAGTGAACATTCAAAATGGCCGAGCTTGTCGGCATAAGTGACAGACATGAGTACCAACATAACGCCACAAAAAAATCGAAATTCGATTATACGTAACCCGAAAAAATTCAAAAGTCGCGATACTTTTTGAACACACCTCGTAAGTACATATGTATGTGTATATAAATAATCTTATTGAAAACAAGGAACTCTTTTGTAAAAAATCCGGACTATAGGGGGTGTTAGGCAGTACTCTATAGTTCGACGAATTCGATTCGACACTACTCTGCAAAATGTTTGTCGGTTTATCGGGGGTCCACTGTATATATGTAGAGAGGGTTAGAGACTTAGAGATATGTGTAGCGAGATAGAAATAGAGGGATGCGCTCAACAATTTTGTCGTTTTCAATTCCACTCGCTGAAAGATTCCTAACTTCCAAATCATGGCAAACCTTATAAAACAAAATAATATACAGTAAGGAAATGTTATTTTACGAAAAAAATAAATTTACTGTCGGCTAAATATATGCCCTTCCGGAATTAGAATAATCAAGATAAATTTTTATTCTAAGTTTTGCAAATAAATTCAACAACTAATTATTTTTTAGGGCAAAAAATTATTTTAAATTAATAAGTTTCCAAGAGAACCTTTCAAAAGTCTTTGATAAAAACTATCCTATATTCTTTCTCAAGGTCAACTCTATGTCTATACCAAATTTCATTAACATCAGTTCAGTGGTTTAGGCGTGAAAGCGTAACAGACAGACAGAGTTACTTTCGCATTTACAATATAAGCATGGACTAGTTATAAAACTGTTACTTTTTAGGTCTATCAGTCTATCAATAGTAAAGATTCGTAGAATTCTAATACTGAACATATTTCAGTAATTATAACTCTAAGACTGTTCGCATTAAGTTCTTTTTTTGGTGTCAATAATATTTTAATTATACAGGGTGACTGGTGAATTACTATCAATATTTGAGGACGTGATATTTGACGATCATATATGACGAAATAAAAATTAATATAACATAAATATTAATAAACTTCTAAGTAAAGTTAACCAAAAGTTATGTAATTAATTACGCATCGTGTGAACACCCTACAGATTAGGTATACACTGACACTCACACATACGCGTGTCGTGACGTAGTGTTGTATCAGCACGCCGCCGAACGCGTCCACACTTGAACACTTGGAACGTGTCAACACTTTACTTATTTATACGGAAATTTTGTCAAAAATTAAGTGCCTATTTTTTTTACATAATTCGAATGAGAATCATGTACCGAGTATTCTCCTTAAATATTGATAGTAATTCAGCAGTCACCCTGTATACATTTCTATTTGCATATTAAATTTAATTTCGACGCCCCCCTCCCCCCACTCTTTTCAGATCTGCGGCAAGTCATTCAGTCACAGGTCGTCGCTACATTCACACGTTTCGTCCCACACTCGCATGTTCTCGTGCGAACACTGCGACTACGGTACTGGGAATAAGTTCGACCTCATCAAACATATGCAGATACATTTAGGTATTGTATATAATAGTTAATAAATGCCTATCCTATAATTCAATGGTATAACTTACATATACAGGGTGACTGGTGAATTACTATCGATACTTGAGGACGTGATATTTGACGATCATTTATGACAAAATAAAAATTAATATAACGTAAATATTAATAAACTTCTACGTAAAGTTAACCAAAAGTTATGTAATTAATTACGCATCGTGTGAACACCCTACAGATTAGGTATACACACACACACACACACACACACACACACACACACACACACACACACACACGCGCGTGCAGCGGCGTGGTGTTGTATCAGCACGCCGCCGCACGCGTCCACATTGGGACACTTGGTACGTGTCCACACTTTATTTATTTATACGGAAATTTGGTAAAAAATTAAGTACCTATTTTTTTACATAATTCGAATGAGAATCATGTACCGAGTATTCTCCTTAAATATTGATAGTAATTCACCAGTCACCCTGTATAGTAACTGACCCGGCAACCTTTGTTTTGCCATATAAAAATAGGGGTTGGTGATAAAAAGTTAAAATTTTGGGTTGTATCTATTTTTGATGCTACATTATAAAGAAATAAAAACGAAAAATTTCGTGTGAAAAAATAATAATTAAGGGTGAACAACCTTTATGACTTAGGGGTATGAAAAATAGATATTGGCCAATTCTCAGACCCACTCAATATGCTCACTTCATCAAAATCGGTCTAGCCGTTTCGGAGGAGTTCTCTGTCTAACACCGCGACACGAGAATTTTATACCAATAACTAATATTTTCAGATGTAATACGCTTTTTATTATATTAACTCCATACTCACGACGTTTCGGTTACTTTGCAGCAACCACGATCACGAAGACGACATGAAAAAAGATATGATTTTTTCCTTTGTATTTACATATTAATATTATTATCGTTACAAAATATATCTCACTTATATTGTTTGGAAACTGTGAAGATTTTTATTTGTATGCACAAGATAAGCCTTTTTTGTTATATATTATGAGTTTATACGCATACCTATGACCTATAACTTCAAAACCTTTTTTAAGAAATTTGTTTTTAATATCCTAAATAACTTTCTATCTAGCCCGTATTACATTACAGCTGTTTAGTTAAAATTAAATATTTAAAGAATACATTATAAGAAAATGCATACACTTTCATAAAACGACATTATACATATTTTTACAGTAGATAAATTGTTACAAGTGGCGCCATCTATGCCGTACTAATAACAATACACTAAAATCCTTAGAAATATTTCTAGGTCTGATTATAATTAATTATTATAATACTGAACCATTGTAATTGCAATTAAGTGTCCTTATATTTGATAACTATAAATACTGGCTTCATGTAACACATTAGAAGTAACGAAGAACATTAATAATTAAGTCTGAATATACAAATACTCTTTAAGTTACAAAATGTGTTCTTGTGACTTCACTCATTTTATGAGTTATAATTAAACAAACATCAGTTACTCAAAATCTTATGTAGTATATAGTGTAATAGCTAGTATATTTATGTACTAAAAGTTCCGAGTGCTCTCAACAAATGCCGGTGTACTGATTTACCCGAAAGGGATTTTGTAACACCGTAAAAGAAATTTGTAATGTATTATATAAATAAATAATAATAATAAAACTTTTTAAGTGATTCTTAACATTAAAAATCAAGTCAAACTATATTTCAAACATTATTTAAGTAAATATGTGTTTTTTTAAGGTCTAAAGCGTTTCAAATGCTCCGAGTGTCCTGCAGTTTATCGTACGTCGTCATCAATGAGGGATCACGTTAAACGAACACACCTCCAGCTAAGACCTCACGCCTGTCATCTCTGCGATAGAACATTCTATGATAGGACGAAGCTTAACAGACATGTTGATTCACATTTTGATTTGAAACGGTGAGTTGGGATATACAAGAGATGGTATTGTGATGGTGGGAAAGACCTTAAAAATTATTTTCTTGATAATTAAACATATAACTTAATATATTGTAATGAATTTGTAAAAAATATATACATACAAAAGTCGTTGGGTGCTTGTCATATTAAAGGTTATACAATCATTCTATTGGCAACTATCTATAAGTGGAGAGTTATGGAAATGAAGTAAAATCCACCCACGCTATTCACTCTGAATTTAATAATTCTGTTTGTAACTTAAATTTTATTATAATTTTATTTTGAAGTAATTAACTATGATTGATTGTTTAACCTTCTGCTATGGTAGTATAAACTCTTTTTTATTCAAAATTATTATCAAGTTTTCAGTTTGATTTGCTATAGAAGCGTGTTTATTTAGTTTTTTAAACTATTATTCATTTTATATTTTTTAGTACAATTTATCAATTAGTTTTTTGTGGACATGCGCAAATCGCACACTAACTCTGTCTCTTTCACTCTCTTAGAATATCTATGAAAAAAATATATTAATCCCGGCGGCCCTAACAAGGACAATGGGAAATTGTTAACGAATTATTGTATTGTTATTGGTCCTTGAGACATATGCAAAGTTTAAAATAAATCATATGTTTAGAAACCGGTGAAAATCATGCTCAAAGATATACATACATACAGCCCAAGCTAATATAAGTGTGTTAATATATACATACAAAGCATTACTATATAAAATTTCTGACACTAAATATACATTTGTATTGTAGGTTCGAGTGTGACATATGCCAGGCATGTTTTTCCCGGAGGTGGTATTGGAAGAAACATCTTGAGAAGCAGCATGATGTGGTCGTACCACCCAAGAGACCCGGCAGACAAAGAACTACAGAATATAGTATAGATATAACAGAGAATATAAAATAATAAATTAATAATAAGTCAGTGGTGGCCTAGTATTAGTCCCGCCTCTCATGCATGAGGGCGCGGGTTCGATCCTGGCAATTAAGAATGTGATTTTTCAGTCATATGTACTTTCTATAAGTATATAGACATAACTGATTAATGCATTCCCAAAGAGGGTTGATGTCAGTCAGGCGGCTGATCGTAAAAACTTATAGTGAAAACTATTCATAACATGCAAGACAGACCCTGGATATAGCTGGGAAATTGCCAGGTAGAAGGGAAGAGAATATAAAATAACATATTTTAAAATTTAGGTAGAGAGAGGAGATTGGACGGTGGAGGTGAGTGTTCAATGTTAGATAGGGTCCCTTAAACCTACACCTGGGTCACAAGTCACAGTCACTGTTGAAGCTCCTCTCACTACAACGATGGACCCGACACCCGCACTGTGAATACATTGAATGATGAGAGGTTTCGTCTCTCTATATATATTAAACCTACACCTGGGTCACAAGTCACAGTCACTGTTGAAGCTCCTCTCACTACAACGATGGACCCGACACACGCACCGTGAATACATGGAATGATGAGAGGTTTCGTCTCTCTATATATATTAAACCTACACCTGGGTCACAAGTCCCAGTCACTGTTGAAGCTCCTCTCACTACAACGATGGACCCGACACACGCACCGTGAATACATTGAATGATGAGAGGTTTTTCGTCTCTCTATATATATTAAACCTACACCTGGGTCACAAGTCCCAGTCACTGTTGAAGCTCCTCTCACTACAACGATGGACCCGACACACGCACCGTGAATACATTGAATGATGAGAGGTTTCGTCTCTCTATATATATTAAACCTACACCTGGGTCACAAGTCCCAGTCACTGTTGAAGCTCCTCTCACTACAACGATGGACCCGACACACGCACCGTGAATACATGGAATGATGAGAGGTTTCGTCTCTCTATATATATTAAACCTACACCTGGGTCACAAGTCACAGTCACTGTTGAAGCTCCTCTCACTACAACGATGGACCTGACACACGCACCGTGAATATATTGGATGCTAAGAGGTTTCTTTATTGTATGGAGATATAAAAATATACTCATATTTATTAAAGTTATTTTTTTATATAATAATTGTTTTATATAGTCTCATATAAGTTAAGGGACCATTTAAATATAATTAATGTACAGACATATTAATTATTGTTATACATTAATTTGTTAGAAAGAAATGTATTGATATTATCAAATGTAAATTATTATGAAATAAAAAAAATAATATATTTTTCTAATGTTTCATTCATATATATTAACTATTACATAATTTTCAGAATAACAGTTTTAAAATTAATTAAAATAAAAACTATATGAGATATCAACTTGATACATTATAAAATTAAAATGAATAATACAAATAAATGAATAATTATTTTATAAATAATTTATTTATTGAATAAATAATTTATCTACATTAATCTATAGACAACTATAGTTTCTTATAAACCGCTCTAAGATGCTCGCTCAATGGTGTAGTATCAGTCTCCATATATAAAATCACTTCCAAAACCTCTGGTTCCAATAATTTGAATTTTCTTTCCAATCTCTTAACATGAGGAGGCTTAGAGAAAGAACATCTCGATAAGTTCGTTGTTGTCAATTTGATTTCTTTATTTTCAACACTGTATTGACCTTCTTCGAGCGATGTTAGACCGAAGTTATGACTGACCATGAATGCAAGCTCATTTGTTCCAGGCTTGATCTTTAAGAAACCTCTCTCTTGATGCATCGGAGTTTGTTTTTCAGGATGACGTGAGGTTGATATGTAGTTGAACATCGACTGACCTGAAATAATAAGATTAAAAACACAGTTATAAATGTTAATCTTGTATGCCAATGATAACAGTTACTGCAAAATAACTGAAACCGAAGGGGTATGTAAGCTTTAAAATAATAAAATAACGCATAGTAAGCTGAAAATATTACTTTTATTTAAATGAATACTCGCGAAAGTCTTAGATCTCATTAGATTTTATAAACACACAAGTAATTTCTTTTACTCATACATTTATATTACGTAAAAATGTTAGTAAAATTTTGTATAACTCTAATTAGAGCTGTTTTAAGTTTTAATTAATAAAAAAAGGTATGATGTTGCATATGTATTAATATTTTTTCTAATGTCACATATTTTGTAAATTTATCGCACATGTAACTTTATATAAATAAGATATTTAAGTAGGTATACTGCATACATACCGATACAAATGAACTCCAATTCTTCATGATATTTAAAATCATGCAAGTTTGGAAAGTGTCCTTCGCCGGCTTCCGTTTTCCAGCGACCGGCGAGCCATGAAATTGGAGATAATGCTTCATGAATATCTTCAGACTGCATATTGTGTAGAAAACTTTTCAATTTAACTTTTTAATAATTTTTATAAATAAATCACTTGCGATTTATATTATTCAGCCTAATATTCGTTTTATCACTACCAACCTCTTTGCAGGGTGATGAGATAATGACAAATGTATTATATAAAATATTTATACCGGAATGGGATGTTTTGTGTTTATGTTTTCTAGATTTTTTAAAACATTTCACCAGAATGGAATTAATTTAATTTATCGATTGGTTTATTATGAAAACAAGTTTTATTTTTGAATTTTGTTTATGCTAGTGTTGTATATCGATAGTCCAATATAGATAGGCTATCGATATTAAATCGATAGTAAAGGCAAAGCCGATAGTTACTATAATCTATCGATAGTATCGTCACAATAGTATTGAAATAGTAAAACTATCGATAGTTTATTCAAAGTGATGTATAGAAGAAAAGTTTTCGGGTGCTAAAAAAGGACACGAATACATTATGCTCATCGGTTCTGTGTGGTTTTATACTATCGAAAGTATTGAAGGTATAAATATCGATAGTATTACCACTTTCAATAGTATTGTTTAAGAAGTGCCATCGATACTACTAGCATGTGACGATACTATCGATATTCTGAATAGTTTTCTAGGTTAACTATCGATAGTCAAAGTCTCGATGGTTCCGCAACACTAGTTTATGCCAATATTTGTCTATTACGTAATGTCATAGATAATAAATACACTTTAACAATAATACACGGTTTAAAATAAATATTATATTCATATGTAGTTTTAGAATATTTAAGGTGTTATATAAAAGTGATTATACTTGTTAAAGCAAGTTTAAGAAAATTCTAATGAAGTTATTTATATAACTAATCAACTGTCAATTGGTGATAGCCATTACTAAGAATTCAATCATCATAATCACAAAAATATGTTCTTATGAAACAACAATTTGTTTGAATTATTATTAAATTACAAGTCTTCTTGTCTTCTACCTGACAATTTCCCAACTTTAGCCAGGGTCTGCCTTACATATTGTGAATAGTTTTGGCTAATTGTTTTTACGATTGGCCGAATGCCTGACCTCAACCCTCTTTGGGAATGCATTAATCAGTTATGTCTTATGTCTAAATACTCTTAGAAAGTACATATGACTCGGAAAAATCACATTGGTACTTGCCAGGATTGAACCCGCGCCCTCAGGCATGAGGGGCAGACCTTTTAACCACTAGGCCACCACTGACTTTTTAAATTACAAGTATTTCCTTTAATTGTTAGTTATATAATATTTTTCGTTATTGATTATTAATTTTGCATTTTAAAATTATTTAATGCGTTATTATTTTATGTGCAAGAACATAATCAAAGTTAAAAAATAACTATAATACATCGAATATATTTGGAAAAATAAAGTAATTTAAGCATAATTTTATAATTTTCATGTGACAAAGTAGGATACACTTTTTTGTATAGAAAAATAATAATTATTTTAATTACTTATTATGTTATATTTAAAAACATTGTTGTGTTCTATGTATTCCTTCCTAATCAGTTATTTTGCATACCATTTAAATAGATTTCTTATAAAGTTTTCATTTAATCTTGACATTGTAGCTATGAAAAGAATTCATGTAAAATAAATGATTCTTTACAGTAATATTGCTTTCTTTAACGAATTTATTACAATATTCTTTTTTGGAGGACCCTTCTCAAATCCGGATAGCAAGGAGTTCCTCCTTCTTCATTGCAATAGTGACTAGATAATATGCATAGTGTATTCGCTCCCTTTATTTTCATATCCAACTTCCTTTAGATGGAAGGTTAATAAAGAGCTTTGATTTACATTTAAATTTTGTGAAATAACGACGTTCAGTCGTTTCAAAGAGGCATCAATTACTGTCAGAGTCTGTTTATGTGCCATTAATTGGATGGTATGGACAAATACTTGTTAAGATATTAAATGTAAATTAATTTTAAAGTTGAACAGTAAATAATAACTTTATTTTAAATAGGTATTAAATGGTAATTGAAAAATTAGTCTAGTTTTATTTTACGGCAATATATAAAAAAAATAAGCACATAAATATTATTTGTAATAACGCCATCTAACGGGAGTGTAAAATTGTTTTGATATCGTACAATTTCGAAGTTATGCTTTTTTTTGTGAAGTTCTTCACAAAATGGCGTCTAAATAAGACTATAAAAAAAATCAAACACTAAGTTGTTGGTTTTTTTTTTATAATTACAATTATTTCCATATTGTATTATAATAAAAATTCTTATAGCACTTTTTCTTAAAACCAAATCTTCAAAATATTATTCATTTTAATCGTTTATTTTTTCAAATAACAAATAAAGATTAAATAATATACTGAATTCTCAAATGATATTCTAATTATGAACTAACACAAATAGGAATTATTTTGAAAATGTTAGCTGCTTTATTTTTTATATATCAGCATCCTTCAATATTAATTAATTTATGCTCAGTATACAGGGTGACTGGTGAATTACTATCGATATTTGAGGACGTGATATTTGACGATCATATATGACAAAATAAAAATTAATATAACATAAATATTAATAAACTTCTAAGTAAAGTTAACCAAAAGTTATGTAATTAATCGCATCGTGTGAACACCCTACAGATTAGGTATACACTGACACTCACACATATGCGTGTCGTGACGTGGTGTTGTATCAGCACGCCGCCGCACGCGTCCACACTTGAACATTTGGAACGTGTCAACACTTTACTTATTTATACGGAAATTTTGTCAAAAATTAAGTGCCTATTTTTTTTACATAATTCGAATGAGAATCATTTACCGAGTATTCTCCTTAAATATTGATAGTAATTCACCAGTCACCCTGTATATTTATTAACGGTAAAAAAATTAAACGATAAATACCTATTATAGAAATAGCTGTGTTTCGTTATCAATATCCTCATTTGTATGTTATCTGTAACTCTCTCGTTAAAATGAAATATTCTGTCCATCATATACATTCACCTGCACATTAAGCGAAATAAATTTCAAATAGTTTTTGTATAACTTACCATATTTTGTATGATAAATTCAAACTCAAACTATGTTTATCATAATTCAATATTTCATTGTTGAAAACTAACATAAAATTGTATAAATTTTTGTGAAATCTCATGTATATTGAAATAAAAATAAAGGACATTTTTTGGGTTGTATTTGACTAAATATAATATATGAAGAAAATATATAACTAATAATTATATATAACTAAATAAAACATTAAAATTAATTGTTCTAACATTTTATTGCCGGATCTGGTTACATTATATAATAAATAATATCATTCAATGTTTATAAATACTCATGATTCTATTATAACAAATACTCAAGTATCCTCAAGGGCTGCCAGCCGGTGGAGTATTTTTCATTTATTTGTTAGCAATATGCTGTTCATTTTCTTTGTTGATAGTGTGAGGTGGCAGCCCTGGTTCTATTGTATTATTTTACTTAGACTTAGCAGCTTCTTCAGCCTCGAGTCTCTTCCTCATGGACTCTGGCATTTCCGCTGGTGGTGGCCGAGGCATTCTCAGGTATACCTGGTAATTAAATTTGTATGAGATTAGTTTATCTTGTGAAATTATTAATGAATTCTTCTTTATTTAGTGGTGTTTCCATAGTTTTCGCCAATGTCATGAGCCTATTTTTTATTGAACTATCTAAAGAGGGATTTTGAAATGAATAAAGTTTTGATAAGAGACTAAAAACTTTGATTCTGCTGTATTAATACATTATAATTATTTTTGTATGGAGTTTAATTATAACAGCGACATTTAGGTATGAACTTGGAACTATTTGTATAAGTCAAATTGACTTAGTCAATATAATGTGATACATATTCCAATAATCTAAGTAAAATCATGTTTAATGAGAAAATTATATATATATATATATATTGGGACTTATTATGAACTTAAGATTATTTTAATATCTTTACAATGCACATATTACTATGCGCATACAAATGAGTCCTTCTTCAAAATACTTTTACATTGACTTCAAATACCTTATCCAATAAGTCTTAGGAATGTTTTTTTAAAGGACTTTAGATGTAGTTTATGATATACATACCTTAACAGCATCATATATGAACCATTGTAGAGCGGTGAGTGTACCAATCATAATGATCCTAGGTCCGAGTCCCTTCCATACTCCGGCCCAACCCAGTTTACCAACAATAGAGCCGACAGTCGCTGTCTTGTCCTGAGTGAGTTATAATAAATGGTTACTACTATATAATGTTTTACACTTAGATTTACTTATATTAAGCATAAATTGCTGTGAGTGTCATACTTCTTATACTATCGTCCACAATACATGCCTAGTGTAGACATCAATGTTTACTGTAAATTGCATTGTAAAATGTTTTTAGAAATAAATAAAGAAATATAACTTGATTATCTTTACTTTCTACTTCTTTCATTTTATGGAAGACTATTTCATCTCTACTTTGTTTGTGTGTGTGTCTGTTTCCCTCTGTATTATTAATAATAGTTTAATTATATACCTGGTTAAGTTTGGAGACGACAGTGTCAGCAGGATGTGACACGATGGCACAGAACACACCAGCGATGTATCCAGCGGCAAATGTTACAACCAGTTGCTCTCCCTTTGTACATTGTTCACGGGGTTTGGGTACTACGTACTGTGGAAATTCAGAAAAACATACATTAATATATATAAATACATATTGATAATAGTAATGCGAGAGCATAAAGCGTGTTGATGTGATAGTTTTATCGATTATAGATTTTCTGTGTGTTTAAAATATTTCATTTATGTTATACTAGCTTTCCGCCCGCAGCTTCACCCGCGTGGAGTTCGGTTATATCGCATTTCAAAGAGAACCTTTCAAAAGTCTGGGATAAAAACTATCCCATGTTCTCTCTCAAGGTCAACTCCATCTTTGTACAAAATTTCATTAAAATCAGTTCAGTGGTTTAGGCGTGAAAGCGTATTTTCCATTGTTAATGCCCCCGCCGCAACCCCTCTTGTGGGTGGAATTTCGTAAAATCCGTTCTTAGCTGACCTCTACTCGGCGAAAGGAATAGTCCTACCAAATTTCAAGTCGCTACGCCTTATGGTTCCAGAGATATCGTGATGAGTCAATATATAGGTGGAAATCTCTTTTATATTTATGTTATATTCAGATTTGATTTAACTAAGTTTAAATCGAAATCGTTGAAACTTGAATGTTATTAATATTAAATTGTTTTTAAATTTTTTATAAACTTAATAAATTAACAGTGCTATGTATTGAATATTATTTCCAAACTGTTAGTTCTGATAGTTTCTAAATATATATATAAAATAATAGTAAATTATTTACCTTATATAGGATTTCTAGTGTTTTCTCGAAGCAGGCGAACTTCATCATGGTGTAAGGGATCTGTCTTCCCCAAAGTGGTACTAATCCCTTGTAGAAAGTGCCGTAACCTTCATTTTGCACCATCTTTGGCCAGGCTTCACGGAGAGTGTTTGCAAATCCAGGCATAGTCTGGATTCTGACCTATATATAAATATAATGCAATGTACAAAAATTTACTCGGTAAACCTATTTTTTTTAAAATTATATATATAAAAGATATTGCAATTTTAGGCTTTATTTATTATAATAATAGTATTTATTTCAATATTATCAACACTTTCTTTGATGAGAGTTTTTTTTCCTATGTTCTTTAGCTTTCATTCAAATTCGAATAACTATCGTGACATAAGTCGAATTACTTAGGATGAAGTACAGAAATATGAGTTTAAGATTAAGAAGATATATATATGTATATCTTACCTTGGCAGCTTCTAATGGTGAGAGGGCAATATCAGCGAAGAACTCAGCTGAAGCTGATGCAGCCAGATATACAAAAGTACGGTAACTATAAGCTGCTTCCTCATCTAACATACCCGAGTAACCCACTTTGAAGACTTCATAGAGACCGAACTTGCAGAGACCCTGGACATATAAATACACATTAGTATATATGTATAGAGAATAATTTAATTTGCTATCATGATTTTATATTCATATGTGATATGTTGTCTTCAAGATTCAGTTGGAACAATTGGAATTTTGTTTGTAATCATTTGATATAAATTCAAGGATAGTGCAAATCTATGTAACTACCATTGGATAATTCCGCGTATCTACATTAGAAGCAGATTATCAGAAGTTTAAGCTGAAATATTTTCTAAATTAACATCTCTTGTAGTAATTTTTTCACAATTAGTAATTATTTAGTGTTTAATTTATTACTAATTGTGAAAAAAATACCTTAAAAACCATTGATATAGTAAATACTAGCTTTCCGCCCGCAGCTTCGCCCGCGTGGAGTTCGGTTATATCGCGTTTCCAAGAGAACCTTTCAACAGTCTGGGATGAAAACTAACCTATGTTCTTTGTCAAGGTCAACTCTATCTCTGTACCAAATTTCATTAAAATCAGTTCAGTGGTTTAGGCGTGAGAGCGTAACAGACAGACAGACAGAGTTACTTTTGCATTTATAATATTAGTAGGGATTTAAGCTTAAACTTTCTTCTCATAATAATCTGCTTCTTATGTAGATACGCGGATTTACACTATCCCCGACGATATAGATATTTGTGTATATGTACTATATAATATATATTTTAACCTGAAGTGAGTATCCGATGAAGGTTGGTGCCCAGCCCTTAGCGAGGCCTCTCATACCCTCCTCACGGACGGACACTTTGAAACCGTTCAGGACATTTTTGTACTTATCAGGGTCGACTTGGAGACGACATTTCACCAGATCGAGAGGCACCACGGCTGTGTGTGTGATACCTGTGTACAGAAATTATTCATATTAATTCAGACTGTGGCGAAACCCGGGTTAACTAGCAATAAGGTGATGTCGTGTGTGTGGTGGGATTGGAAGGGCATTGTTCATTATGAGCTATTACCATCGGACAGGACTATCGATTCTGAACTCTACTGCAAACAACTGATGAGATTAAAGCAAGAAGTTGAGAGAAAGCGGCCGGAATTGATAAACAGAAGGGGTGTGGTGTTTCATCATGATAACGCTAGACCTCACACATATATAGCCACTCATTATAACTTAAAATTTATATATATATATATATATATATAAATATATTTATATAGGTAGCTTCAGTAACTCCTTATGACTTAGTTGCAGTCAACTTCCCATCAAAATCGACCGAGCCATTTCAAAGATTAACCAGACCAAACAGACAGACAATCAATGTAGTAAAAGTTATTCTGGTATTAGATTGTATATATTATAATTTTTGGTAACAATTATATATGGACACTATAAATTCATTAATTTTTTTACTATAGAAATTAGTATATTCTTTGAATTTTTATTAATTCTGAACCATCGTAACATATGCCTATTTTGTCGTATCGACAATAATAGGTCGCAAACTAGTAGCGAAATCTGTCGTAGATATGTAGTATATACATTGGAAACAAAGTTCACTTGTTTTTTGTGACTCAAGTGTTTAATTTATAATAGAAAGCATTGAAATTAGTACAAATTAAGTAATTTTATCATCACGTGATATTGAAAGATAAGATCCAGTTATCTAACCTTCACCGATATAAATACATAATCAGTGGATGCATGGATTTGTATGTATTAGATTAGATTAGAAAAAAATTTATACATATTTTAAATAATATATATACATTAAACGTTGCAATCATAATGATAATGTTAAAACAAAACTTTTTAATACTTTTTAAAGAGAATCGTGTCATCGTGTGTAGTTGTTATGTCACACAGACATAGTTTATATGAAGGAGATGACCACGAAGATGTGTTTATATGGAGTGTATGATACATACATTATATTATATGAAACAAACACACACTACTATGACTCTGACACACATACAAATATAACACAAAAATGTGTGTGTGTGTCACTGAATGTTAAACATAGACACATTTATATTATAGTATTGAATGTGAAGTAATCAATAATTTTTCTCTTCCATATAAAAGATCACATAGTCCATAACTTTATTGAAAATTCATAATATAAACTCCATTTACAAATCAAGAAAAGAGATCTACATCTTCAACCAAATATTATAAAAAACTTAATTGATTTATTGTGTTTCTGTTTTAAAGTAACTTATATAATGATAAAAATGTTCTTTACATTGCTATAACAGTAGAAAGTCGAGCTATCTTACCGCAAGAGAGGATTCCACCAAGTCCGCAAAGAGCAAAGTATTTGCTGGAACCAAACTCGCACGAGTCTCCGGAGGGTGGGACCGCTGAAGACGCAGCCATAGCCTGGAACAATTATATGTATGTGAAGAATAATATAGTATGAAGGGTATAGTGATATAGTTCATTTATATAGAGATTACTTTCTTAGACTTGTACTATAAGATTTGGTAGGAATAGCATGATATATAATGTTTAAGACCTAAAGATATCATATTTATGACAAAAACAGCATTATTTTCTTACTACTTCTCAAGTCACACTAAAGATAGTTAATCTTTCAATCATTTACTTATATAATGTGCAAAGATTATGAATGAAAAACTATAAGTCCTATACATTTATTGTAACTTATGGTAATGAATTGAAATATAGTCAGTTTTAACTGAAAAAGCCCTCAGATCTCATAATCTTTTATTCATCGGGCAACCGTGTATTCGTGAATGATATGCTATGTATATACATAGTGTCGTTAAAATGACTCACTCACAATACACATCCCTCCAGAATAAGTTTTCATCATCGGGCTAATTGTAGTATGGAATTAATAAAATAGGAATATTTAGAAGTTCTTGCTATCAACATAAAGACGCTAATAATGTTCTATCATCATCATCAGCCTATCAGAGTCCACTGAGCTGCTTCTTCTCACATGAAGAAGGTAAGAGCATTAATCACCATGCTTGCTCAAGACGGGTTGGTGATTTAAAACTTATAATTTGATATATAAGTATATACTTAAATATAACTTATGTATTAGTTATACTTGTTCAATATTGTTAATAAGTATGTCAAGTGTAATATAGGCAGATTACTATATTATATTAGGTTCCATAATTCAGTTTGCTACTTAGCACAATGCCTACATGAAGAATTTAATATAGTTTTATTGAATACTATAGTAACTTACTTGTGTAGGTGCTTCACACTGGGCTCCGCTCAATGGGCCTCGGAACGGTGAGTTCCGGGCCGTCTCCAGTAAGGATGAGAACATTTTACTGGAAATAACATCAACTATTTATTCAACAGTCATTATATCTTCTATATATATAAAAATGGATTGCTGTTCCTTAGTCTCGCTAAAACTCGAGAACGGCTAAACCGATTTAGCTAATTTTAGTCTTGAAATACTCCTGGAAGTCCAGAAAAGGTTTAAAAGGTGAGAAAAATTTGAATAATTGCCGGGAAAACCCTAAAAACAGTCCTTTTCTATTTCCCATACAAACGTTTTTTTTTGACATTAGATTTGACAACTAACTAATATGTCAATCATTCTGTTTGATTGAAACAGGAAAAACCTGATTATTTATGGCCTCTAAAACAGAATAGAGTTCGCCTGGTCAGCTATACCTACATATATCACTCTTGACCAAACTAACGCGGACGAAGTCGCGGGCAAAAACTAGTAATATAATAAACTAAATAGTAATATTGCATCAGCTCTCATAATCTGTTATTCACAGGGCAACCGTGTGTAGGGTGGGCAACACGCTGTGTAATCCACAGTGGCGTTTACTAGCCTTGCTCAAACTACACACATCCCTCTCATATCTTTTGTCATCATTGTACAAGCATATAGAAGAATTAAGATTTAAGGCTTAATTGTTTATCACATTAATTAAGTATGTATATCTGCAATGCAGATATAGGTTTAAAGAAAGAGATAGCTTTTCGGAGATTCGTTCAGATTATTTATTTTATAACAGGGTAATTTTTTTAAGTTACTTTAATTAACAAAATAATTTTGTTATTATATATTTACATACATGGTAAATTGGAAAATAGAGATAAAAACTGAAGTATTATACAATATACTTAATCAATAAGAGCATTTAATTTTATTTTTTTCACATCTTCGTTTCACCTCAACTTATTACAATGTCGTAATTTATAGGTTATAAATAACTTTTTGATTATTTACCCGCGTATGTATATAATGTAAATAGAAAGCACTCATTACATATATACTTCAATTAAACACAGAATATTTCGTAATTAAGCATTCTGCGAGTTATTTTCTAAATTTAAACTTCTTAAGGTTAAGAACTGTCATTGACAATGAGCTATAGCGTTATTAGGTAACCGAGTTATAAAATTAATAAATAATTATTATATATAAGATATTCATATTATTTGCTACTATATTAGTTACTAACTTTTAATACGCGAATAATTTGCTCTGAATTACATCTGGTTTGAACCAATCAATACTGAAACTTAGTAGTGGGGGTTGGCTTAGCCCTCTCGATTTTGAAACCAAAAACGCTTTAATCATTCATTATTATCGATTATATCAATAATTTAACTTAATTTAGGATACAAAATCGAATACAGGGCAAGGTCACGTAAAAACATAATTTCATTATCACTTACGTATTACGTAAGTTACGATGTACGAAAAATTACATGGGTTTTAACGTAAAAATGAAAATTTGAATATAGAATTGATAGTAAATAATATATATGAGCGGGTAATATAGATAAAAAGAGTTTTAAATGTAACTTACATGTTTTAAATCCGATGGTAACTGTTCGACACACCTCACCGCGCTACACGCACAGTGTTAAAGGAAACTGAGCGGGGAACGGCAGCGCCAAATCGGAAGTTATATAATCACGTGGTAGATATTGACGTAAGTCACTACCACTGGAATTTTTTACAAGATCATAACTCACTTTTAACTCGCTTAAAATCTGTCAAACGAGTTTTAATTTTTTTAAATTTATGACGATAAATGTATTAAATAAATATTACATATTTATTACAATAAAACAAAGCTAAAATGATGTTGGCAATCAAAGAAATTACAATTATGATGTATGTATATGTATGTGCGTTATATATGTATTTGATTGCATCAGTTCGTGTTTTGATTATAAACTGAACTATTTATTTAATAAAATCGTATTTTATATGTTTTTTTTGTCATACTGATGTAGGTCTTATTACAACAGTCAAATTATTTAATATTCTTTTATGAATACATATATTTATTTCAATTAAAAGTTATTATCCAAAATTGTACAGTATGAAGAACTGTTTATTATTTAAGAAGTTAAACTATGTACAAGTGTACAATTTATATCTTTAAACGCTTTCTCCCTCTCTTATTTATTTTCCTTATAATTTTCGCCAATGTCTTGTGTCGATATTGTACTGAACTATGTTAAGAGGGATTTGTAAATGAACAAGGTCGCGGCTAGAAGCTAAGAACTTCAACACTGCTGTGATCGTTTTCTTTAAACTTGTTTTATTAATTTAATCATGGCAACAATTTGATGGTATAAAGTTATTGATTTATATGTATAAAAAATAGACCCAGTCTGATAATTTAATTGCTAAACCAAACATGACTCGACAGTTTTCGAATATAATTAGTATTAGTATTTTTTTAAGTATGGCTTCATTTGATACTAGCTAGTTTATATGAGAGATGAAAATTAAATCTTTTTATAGTCTGTTTGAATTTATATTTCAATATGCAAGAAATTAAATGTATAAAATAAGTAATATTATTAGATTTTTAATAAATCGGCATATTTATCTATGTATTAGTGCTTCTTAACATCATAGCTGGAACAGACGAGCCCTTAGCTAACGTTTTATTATCCCTATATCTACTATATACAATTAATGGATAGTTTTTTTAAAAGTATTTATACTTAATTTCAACGTAACAACGTAAGAACGTAACAACGTAAGAAATTTGACAAATCGAAAAAGTATAATTTTGACAGATGTCAAATTTTGACTTCACTCATTTTAAATATCTTTAGCTTTGCTATTATATAATATTGATATATTTAAAACTTTAGGTGTAGATTAAAGATTGAATCTGTTATTTATTTAGATTCAATTTATTTATTTTTGTGATCATAATTTTTTTCTGTTTAAAAACTTCAATAAAATCACTAGGTTTATAATAATAAACAAAATCGGCGGTTTAAAAGCAGAATATTAGGGAAAACGGATTATATTATTCTTTAGAGATCTTTTGAGGTTTAAAAACCGTGATGCTTAATAATAAAAAAATGGAATGAGACAAAAAGAAATGACTAGGTGGGTAAAATTCTAAAAACCTTTTTGGGATTTCAATGGTAAATAAATTAGTACCCGTTAAATGTACACTTCACATTAGTCATTATAAAATTGTATTTAAAAGTTGCGTTAATTAAAAAAAATTAAAAGAATATTCATTAAAAATAACACATACATCTGGGGCAATAGTAAAAAGTATTTTCATGATATTTATTAAGATTCCGCAATGTGTCTTAAAATAATTTTGGTTTATGAGAATAAATTTTTGGAATTGAAAACTTAGCTCTCAATATTTTTTTTACTCCAAAACAAACATATTTATCTAATAAACAGACTTGTGGAAAATGAAGTTTTTTCGTATTGTTTCTAATATTTATATATACTGAAAAATGTACAAATGTGACAAAACGAATGTTATGTTCTTTAAAAGGCAGATAATATGTAAGACAAGAAAAAACATTTAACTCAATTCTTAATCCGAGTGTCTACTATAGTAAAATTAAACACGAAAAGTTTTCAGTCTTTCATTCATAAAACTTCTTCCTACCTGATAGTACTCACTTAGTTATAAACTATAAACGAAAACTGCAAACTGTACGTTTTCAGTTTGACTAAACAAACCGGTCATAAGGACATACGAAGCACAACACGAGTAAAATCGGAGCAAATATTATATCTATGTATAAAAAGGTTTTATTTCATTAACTCACTGCTATCTAACTGCTAGAGGTTACGTCATAATATTTATTATGTCAGTACTCAAAGATGTCAAAATTGTAAAGTAAATAAAATAACAAAATGCATTACATAAATAACTTACGTTAGTTAATAAAGTTTTAAATAGAAAAATAAGTTTCCATGGAGAATGTGAAGTCATTATGTCATCTCGTTGGGGTCGAAAGAGGTGTGCTCGATTATGCTCGCCACCACCATTCGCGCCACGACCCAGAGCATGTTTAGATAGTCTTGAGATACCATTTCAAACACCTCTCGTCCTTCGTCACTTACCACCATCAAAGGTACCACCCTGTTACATTCGACCACCACAGCCTCAATGCGCAAGAGGTATTGTATGCCATTGTGCAGACCAAAATTACTGCACCGCTGAAACCTGTAGGAGTCCATCGAGATGCTGTCAATCTGATAATCTATACTGCTTGTATGGCAACAAAGAGAATGATGAAGACAGTGTATGTCAAAGACGATGCCGTTACCAGGAAGGTGATGAAGATTCTAGTGCTAAAGACAGTGAAGATGATAGAAGTTCCACACGCTCGAATCATGAATATGGACTGGACAAAGACGATGGATCAGATGATAATCTGGGCGATAAACTATCAAATACATCTGAAATACCACACGAAGCAGAAGATAATGAACAAAATAAACTAAGTAACGACACACTACGAGATAGAAATGGGGTGAGTTTAATGGAAGCAACATCTGGTATAAAGAATGTGGGAAATACAAAGAAGAATAATAAACAAGAGGTACATTGCATGACCAGTTTTAATAGAGATATGCAGGTAAGTATGCAGACTCGTACATTTGGTAAAAGGACACGTGATGCGTCGAATACTGCGAGCCCAGAGGTTCGTTATGGTGGGAATAATGTACAAAGCGCGGGAAGTTTAACAGATGTAACACAATTTGATGCAAATAGACAAGCTGATACAAGTTTGAGACAAAGCTGTTGTTCTAATTCTCAACGGAATAACATTGAAGATGGATATGAAGAGGATGATGATGATGATGAGAGATTAAATGATGAAACTCTAAATTCATGCTGTCGACCTGGATATGGTTATCCTCAGTCAAACCCACCTTTACCTCAAGCTGATTTTACATGTCCTCAAAGTAGGGCTTTCAACGACGATTTCAATGAATCTGATGCTGATGAATATTTCTCTAAACCATCAGGAAATTCAAATACAAAAAACCCCAAAACTAGCACACCTCTACGAATTAATGATCCTGAATCGAATGTCGAAAGCTTATGCATAAAGGATTCTCTAGACATTTTGCAACAAGAAAATAAACAACACCGTAATCCATCCGCAAATATTATGGATCATTCTAATTTTAATCAAAATTATTTATATTCACAAGATAAATCTAATATTTCCAAAAGGGAGCCATCGCCTAAAAATCAAACTGAAGAATCTGGTTTTTGCGTTAAAGGCGTTGGATGGAAGTGTCCGGCTTTAAGTGAGTTAAAATCATCATCTCTTAATCATGTACCATCCAGAGGATCCCAATCTCCAAACAAAAACGTTCCTCGCCGTTACAGCAGTAGCCAGATAAGTCAGGTGAGGTTCGATAGAAATGTTACAGAAAATTTTGATGATAGTCCTATTGAAAAGCAGAATTCTAATAGTAGAAGAATATCTCCAAAGTCTCAGTCATACAAAAAATATCCCACACAGTACACCGGTTACATTCCGCGCAAAAGCAGTGCTCTATCGAGTCTGCCTTGCGAAGGCTGTTCGCATGGTCCGCGACCAAAGCCCAAAATTGATATAAGCTGCGTTTGTTCTGATGAAAAGCAGAAAATAACTAAAGCCGATTGCACCAGAACTCCGTCCTGCAACTTCAAAGATGGCACAACTTCATGTGCTTCCATATCATGCGTTGTTAACGCGAATAGTGGCTGCGGATGTTGCTATCCGCCGTCGTTTTCATATTTGAGCTGCAGTGGAAACATAAGCGGCACTTGTAACTGCAGGGATAAAAGATAATAAATATAATAATCAAATAAATACAAGCTAATTTTAAATTAGCAGAAATATGAATTTGTTGATTGATAATGTGTTTTTTATGGTTTTCACGATGAAATAAAACAATTAATTAATATATATCACAATATATTTTAATTCTTTTAATTTAGGTCTGAAACACTCAGGTTCTAAAATTTATTTTATTGTACACTAAAATGCTTCTTTAATATTATCTTTTTTTTTAATTTGAACGGCACATCGACAGTACATACATTAAGCACTTAAAACTAAACACTAACTGATGTATGTACCAATTATAGATGTACACAGCACTGCTAAAAATTACTGTCTAGCTTACTGCTTACAAAAATATTATAAAAAAACAAGTTAACAAAAGAAATAACAAAACTATATAAACTCTAACAAAACTATTACGTAAAAAATACAAATGAAGAAGAAAGAATATCGAACAACAATCAAAATAAATCTTCATTATGGCTTCATCAATACGAACGTTTAGAAGGCTTTGTCCCATCCTGACTTCTCTTTAGAGTTTGAATAAAATTAAATCAGTCATACTTTCAAAGTTCTTAAGTAACAAATCATATTATCCTTTACGTTTTAATGACTTTATAGGAAATGTTATCACAATAAATGAAGTCTCTGTGACTTCTTTTATCTACAACACTATTTACAACAATACAACAATAACTACATTAAAATTATTACATCTACAATAACAAATCATCTACACATTACATATGTTCTAACCAAATTACAATATGTATAATTGTATAAGTACTTATAATAGTATCTTTAAATAACTTGAAATTTAAAAAACACATGAAATAATTATCTAACATTTTTGAATAGTGAAAGTATATAACTATTATAATTTTTCTCTTAAAATATGTTGTATGTATGGCAATAAAGTCTGAAATAAGTAAATAAGTATGTAAAAAATAAAATAAATAAATAAAAAGAATTTCTAAAATAAAAAAGGATTTGTTTTTAATTATGTTTATTTCTCTTACAATGTAATTTTACAAACTTTTTCCTAGAACTACACAATTTATTTCAATTTATATTGCAATATAAATTGTACATTCATAAATTTAGAAGTTTCTTTTGGCATAATTTTCTATGAAAACCTAACAGTCCAAGATCCCAGGTCTCCATAACTTACTCATTTTGCTGATAGTCAAAACATATATAATAATAGGTAAGCATTAGTGTGTACAGTAAATCTATACAAATGTCAGCTTGTATCGAAGGCCAATTCTCATGTACGAGGTGCTATGAGTAAATAAAAATTATACTCACTTTATTTAGTCTGATTTTTAAGTTATTGTAGAAAATATTGTAAATAATTTAAAATAAATACAACTAGACACCTTCTGTTGGCAGAATTCTTGAGACGAAACCTCTTAGCATTCAATGGATTCACCGTGCGGGTGCCGGGTCCATTGCGTTGTAATGAGAGGAGCTTCAACAGTGCCTGGGACTTGCGACCCCATGAATGAATTAATGTTAGTTCTGGACAGGCCCAAGTCTTTTAGTAGGTTATAGAGAGATTTATCTGTTATACCTCTCGCTCCCACCTCTACCGCGTACAAATAAACGACGAACCTATATCGAGTTAGTTCGTTAGTGAGCTCGTAATACTTATTGACTTTGATGGCATGGTCTTTGGGGATGTTGGTTTCCCAAGGCACCGTAAGCACTATCATCACAACGCGCTTTAAAATACGCGAATATAGAAATATGTCTGGTCTGGTATACTCACTTTATTTTTTAGTAAACAAGTTACTAGCCTTTGAGTCATTTGAATTAAATTTATCTTTGAATCAAATATTAAAGCATAGTCAACAGGAGTCACTTCCCGAAGAATACAAATTGTTAATTTCAGGTAAACCGTTACCGGCAAAAAATAAATTGTTATCCCTATCGCCTTCCTTAGATTCAGATACAAAATTAATTCGCATAGGAGGCAGACTTAAAAATTCATATACGATTATAACGTTAAACATCCTATCCTTTTACCTAGCTCTCACCAAATTTGTAAGTTATTATTTAATATGTATCATATTAAACTTATGAATGCCGGACCTCAATTGCTACTTGCCATTCGTCATCACTATTCCTTGTTTACTTGATAATAAATCATGTAATTATTATTAAAATCATTTACTGTACAAATTACAAGATAATTTTAATGAAACAGTATTAAAAAGGCATTTCATTATTACCTATGCTGGTTAGATAGATGCATGGATAAATGGAAGATGGTTATCTTAGCTCCTAGGGTTGCTTTGGCAACTTACAAATACATTTAAAGAGCCCGCTAAGTATTAAATTTAAACATCAAGTGACACATTGTAAGTAATATTGTGTTTTTTTCTGTCGATATGTAAAGTGTCTGCCAACAGTAAGTGTGTGGAAGTATTCATTTGAAATTGTTTTCAATATTTCCTACAATATATTAAAATGAGACCTCAGACTATAAGTAAATTGAGTTAAATTTTTACTTACCAGTAGCGCCTGGAACTTAAGAATTGGTCGTTGGTTAGCTTATACTAGAACATAATGTTATGTATAAATTGTGCATGAGTTTATATTTCTCACAATTAACGTTTATTTAGCCTAAAATTGCTTAAATGATAAATAACAATAAAAGACATCAAGCCAATAATATAATGATACGAGTATGGCAAAATAGAGTAATAAATTTAACTAAATTTATAAAAACAATATAAAGTGCATAATCTAACAAATAAGTAACATATGCAAGGTAAATGTAACCTGATTATTATTTTTCAATATACAAAATTACAGTAGTGCACGTTTGTCGTGCGTTATCTCTTTATCCATTGTTCAATTTTAACATGTAATTAAAAAAATAATAAGTAGGTATAATGTTGACAAACAATGTAAACACACAGCTTGTTACGCGAACATAAAATTATTAAATTAAACACCGAATGCTGACACCATGGAACTTATGGGAATGGAATGAGGTAAAGACGACACCACAATCCGCGGAATCCATGGGAATGGAATGCAGAAAGAGAACACCACGGCTTCCCAGTCATTGTAAATCAGTTTTAAAATTATAAAATTACTTCTTCGTTCAATCATGTAACGATAGGTCGTCTATAGAATAAAGTAATTATAAGTAAATTTTGGTTTCTTTGGAATCTCCGGCTGTAGTCGACATAATTAGCTGAACAAAATCGAGAGTTATTCGCTATAATATTAACAACATGTAACCCATCAAACCCAAAATATGGGACTCTTTCAAAATGAGTATGAGTGATGATATATTGTACCAAGTCCTGAACTAACCATAGAATTCAATGACGAGACTTCAATGAAACACTCATTCGCTTAGAAGATAAATGTTTAGCAATAAATAATCAGACCTTAGTAGAACTTGGAATGCCAGCACCACAAAGAAATGCTTTTAGTATGCTAAACTACGAAATTATGAAGGAAAAAAGTTACAACATCAATGAACTACCTGAATACATTGCTCACAACAAACCACTTCTCAATGACAATCAAAAAAAAGTTTACGACGTTATAATGAGCCGGATAAATAACAATATTGGTGGGATTATATACTTGGACGCACCAGGAGGCACTGGTAAAATGTTTCTCATAAATCTAATACTGGCGGAAATACGTGCTAAAAAAAACTCATCGCACTGGCACTAGCATCATCTGGCATTGCAGCCACACTTATGGAAGGAGGAAAAACTGCCCATTCTGCTATACAACTACCATTGAATATAGCCGAACAACAATTCCCGGTATGTAAAATTTCAGGAAAATCTGGACGTGGTCAAGTTTTAAAACAAGCTAAAATTATCATCTGGTATGAATGCACCATGGCCCATAAAAAAATTATAGAAGCCGTGGACAGAACATTACAAGAATTGCGAAAAAACTCTGAAATAATGGGAGGAGCTCTACTCATACTCTCAGGAGATTTTCGACAAACACTTCCAGTTATTCCCAAGTCAACATCAGCAGACGAGATCAATGCATGCTTGAAAAAATCACATCTCTGGCCACAAGTACAAATACTGCAATTAACAAAAAACATGAGAGTTGAATTATCAAGAGATGTAACAACAGCACAATTTGCTAAAATACTTTTACAAATCGGCGAAGGTACATATCCTACTGAACAAACGACCGGCCTAGAGACGAAACTTCTCAGCAATTCATGGACTCACCGTGCGGGCGCCGGGTCCATCGCGTTGCAGGGAGAAGAGCTTCAACAGTGCCTGGGACTTGCGACCCAAGTGTAGGTTTAAGGGGCCCCTTAACTAACGCGCGTTATACGCTAACCTCCACTGTCCAAGCTCCTCTCCCTACCTAACCAAATTTGAAAAGAACCTACTAGGGCTGCCTTCGATGTACGTTCCAAGAATGCATTAATGTGAGTTCTGGACAAGCCCAAGTCCTTTAGTAGGTTATAGAGAGATTTCGCTGTTATACCTCTCGCTCCCACCTCTACCGCGTACAAATCAACGACGAACCTATTTCGAGTGAGTTCGTTAGTGAGCTTGTAATACTTATTGACCTTGATGGCATGGTCTTTGGGGATGTTGGTTTCCCAAGGCACCGTAAGCTCTATCATCACAACGCGCTTTAAAATACGCGAATATAGAAATATGTCTGGTCTGGTATACTCACTTTATTTTTTAGTAAACAAGTTACAAGCCTTCGAGTCATTTAAATAAAATTTATCTTTGAATCAAATATTAAAGCATAGTCAACAGGAGTCATTTCCCGAAGAATACAAATTGTTAATTTCAGGTAAACCGTTACCGGCAAAAGAACTAAGAAGACGAACTAATCGACAAAATTTATCCAAATATTATTCAGAACTATACTAATGCAGAGTGGTTATTTCAAAGATCAATTTTGGCCACTAACGTCAGCATCATCTATTAAAAGTTTAGCTAATACTCTGCAAACTCACAAACCTGAAGAACATATTATCGTAGACAAGCATCCCAACAACAGTGACAGCCCGAAATCAACCGAAATTTGAACAACCATACAAAATATTTCTCCACTGATTGGTCTTCATAAACCAAAAAGGGTCGTAAAAAATAAAACAAAATCTCAAGTACTTACAGAAAGTCCTTATAAAAAAGAATTAGAAAATAAGTTATTAGACTTAAAGAATAAAAAACCCAAAGAGTCAAAAACGAAGACTGTATGTAAAAATTTAGGTGGACAAGAAGTCGTCAAAAAGAAAAATTACAAAGAGAGAAAGGTTACTGTAGTGTAAGTAGATGCCCCGCTTCCCTCCCTCAAGCAGTCAGTCAGCAGAAAATGAAGAAGAAAGCTGGTATTGGTATTTTGTGAAAATAATAAAAAAGAAGACATGATACAGTGCACAGTGTGAAACCTGGTTTCACGAACTTTGTGCCGGAGTTGACGAAACTGCTCGTACCTAATAAATATTGGCATATAAGAAAAAATTGTAGAAACAAGAAAAAGGTTTAAAGTCAAATGAAAACTCCGGCTGTGTGGCAGTATTTTCTGCAACACGTAATGACGATGGCTGATAATAAAGGAGAAGGATGATAATAATCCAGGAGCTTGGTTGGGAAGTTTTGATGCATCCACCATACAGTCCGGACCTCGCACCAAGCGATTACCATCTTTTTCTTGCCTTGCAAAACTTTTTTAGTGATAAGAAATTGGCATCAAGGGAAGAGTGTGAAAATCAATTGCTGGAGTTTTTCGCTAATAAGGACCAAGACTTTTATGAGAGAGGCATAATGAAGCTACCATTAAAATGGCAACAAATTATAGAACAAAATGGTGCATATTTGACCTAAATCGAACAATGCAAAACATGTTAAATAAAGTCTTGAAGTTCACGTAAAAATAATGGATTTCTTTTTCCCCAACCTAAAGACTCAGTAGCGTCAATGCATCTAACAATGCACCGTGAAGAAATATAACCTCTGGTTGATACTATTAAGGTGGCTGATGACAAGAAACTTACTGTAAAAATATGTGGTAGGGTTAAACTACATGTAGTTGACAGAAATTTCAAGTCTAAAGTGATTGAAGTTGTCAATTTTCTTTATTTTTCTGAATTGACCACCAACCCACTTTCAGTAAGCCAAATAATAAAGAATGGCTGTCATGTGCAATTTGACAGAGAAGGTTGAAGAATATTTAATAAAATTAATAAAGTGACAAATTATATGTACCGGCTCAATACACACAGCGTTTCAGTATACATACATGTTTTCAAATAAAAGCAATGATTATTGCATAAAAGGATGGCTTTGAAGATCTAAATATTTAAATGTGGCGAACGCGACACTTACATATATAATTAAACATTATATATATATATATATATATATATATATATATATATATATATATATATATATATATATTAATATAATATCTCATATGTATTTTGTTACATTAAATAATACTTTGTATTTGTACTTTAAATCATATAATTAATTAAATAAAAATGTATATTATGTAAATGACGGAAGGCGGTCGCCGAGTGGTCGTAAGATAAAAATGTCTTGTCTCAATAATCTTTAAATAAAGAAACGCAAGCGCATCGGCTCGGCCGCCGCCCGCCAACTAGTTAAAACTTGGATCTCAAACCAGACGCACGTCGCTTATCGCTTAAACTTTGCTACACTATATTAAACCCTATTGCTAATACGAATAAGGTTAACACGAATAAGGTTAAAACATCATTCATAATTCGGCTACATAAACATTGAAGATCTAAATAGATTATCAGAAAGTACAGGGGTAAAAATTGAAAACAAAGACAAAGCTGTATATAACGGGTGTCCCATCTAGCGTTTCGAATTTGAACTAACGATAATTTGACATTGGAGACGTCAACTGTCATCGGAGAAGTGTCACATATTTAGTAATAAGTCTGACATTTACGAAATGGGTCGCTATTCGCTTGAGGAAAGCTGGGAAATATTAAAAAATTATTTCCAAAGTGGTGAATCGCCAACGCAAACTGTGCGAAATTTGAAAAAAATATTTGCCAAAAAAGATTTGCCATCGGAGGCATATGTGCGGCAATTTGTGAATCGTGTGCGCGAAACTGGATCACTGTTGGATAAAACAACACGTAAACGTCCATTTCCAGCAAGGTCAACCGAAAACATCGCTGCGGTGGAACAAAGTGTTCGTGAACGGCCATCCACATCGATTCGTCATCGAGCGCAAGAGTTGCACCTTTCTCGGTCAACTACGCACCGAATTTTGCGCAAAGATCTTGCCCTGAAGCCATATAAAGTTCAGTTGGCCCAACAGCTGAAGCCAATTGATCATCCGAAACGTCTACGGTTCGCAAATTGGGCGGAAGATCGTTTGGCCGAAGATGGTGAGTTTTATCGAAAAATCATCTTTTCCGACGAGGCTCATTTTCACCTCGGCGGTTATGTAAATAAACAAAACTGCCGTATATGGGGCACAGAAAACCCGCACGTCGTTGAGGAGAAACCGATACATCCACAACGAGTGACTGTTTGGTGCGGATTTTGGTCCGGCGGCATCATCGGCCCATTTTTTTTTGAAAATGATGAAGGAGCCGCCGTAACCGTCAACGGCGAGCGCTACCGCGCTATGTTAACTGATTGGTTTTTCGGTCAAATGGAAGAGTATGATTTGGACGATATTTGGTTTCAACAGGACGGGGCTACGTGCCATACAGCCCATGCTACGGTCGATGTTTTGCGCCCAATCTTCGAAAATCGCATAATCAGCAAAAATGGTGATGTGAATTGGCCTCCAAGAAGCTGCGATTTAACACCATTGGATTATTACCTTTGGGGAGCGGTCAAAGACGTTTGTTACGCCAACAAGCCAAGCACGATTGATGACTTGAAACATGAAATTGAAGTTGCCATTGCTGCCATAAGGCCGGAAACAATTGAAAATGTACTGAAAAATTGGACTGATCGAATAGGGTACTGCCAAGTAAGCTGTGGTGGACATTTGACCGAGATAATTTTTCACAAATAATGTCATGAATTATGCTTTCAAATAAATGTTTGATCATTGAAATCTATCGAGTCGTTCTTTTTTTATAGCCTTTTTAAATTCGAAATTTTCCGTGAGACACCCTATATATCATGTTTGAATGGAAAGTAGTCAAGAAATCCATTTTCTTCTGAAGGTTGTAGAGCAAAGGCCTTACTAGAATTCATAAACAGAAAAAAGTACGTACAATCTTAGATCTCATTATATACAAGTGGATTGCTCCCAAATAATTCATAATTTTTAAAATTCATTAAATTTTCCATCAATAAATGAAAATTTGAATACTCATGAAATCATCCAAGCGTTTGAACTCTGAAGCAATGACTATATTTACAGAATCGATTATAAAAGGTTATAACTTTAAATAATACTCAAAATATCAGTATTAGTTTACAAATTATTAACTCAGATATCAAAAAAACCATCCAGGAAAAAAATAGCAAATTGCCACTGTTAAGTCTTCCTTTAATATATAAACAAATTATTACTCCGAACCTAGTGTAGCACTCGATCTGTTTAAATCTTGAGTCAGTCGCAAATAAATATCGTATTAGTGAAAACATCGCGGTTTTCTTTAAAAACATGTTCGTCCTGCAAGCTAATATCAACCTTAACCCTTTGTAGCCTCGTGTGACATTTCTGTAACAAACCTCAATAATCCCGCTAAAATATATACTAAATATTTTATGTTCATTCAAATCAGTGTTACTGTATTGTAACATACCAAACCAAACATTTTAGTATCAAGTACAAATCATAGATGGCGTAACTTGTTGATTATAGGGAGTTTGAATTACGTCCGTCGATGGAAGTGACAGGTTGAAACTCGTTGAGAGTTTGAATTTTATAAAAATATACTAAAAGTGTATAAAATTGTATTGTTTTCGTCGAAACCTATAGGTAAGTGAATGATTTTGTTCATATATCGTTATCAAAGCATATTTTTGCTTTTTTATGTAAAAAACGTATCAATATATGTTTGTAACATTTCTGTTACATTGAGTTACGATTGAAATATTGATTGAAACTAAAGTATTTGGATATTGATATAAAATTATGCCATTATTTTAGAATGGGGTCACACACACTGAGGGATCGTGAAATAGATGACCTATTGCACCAATATGATAGTGAAGACGGATTAGAAGACGATGATGACAGCGTCATTGATCCAGATTTTCAGCCGTTATTAGAAGATTTAGAAATATTTTCTGATTGTGAAGAAGATACTGCAGTTGATATAGATTCAATTATCAAAGAATCTGAACGCAGTGAGCCTGTTGCTGGCGCCTCGTCTTCAGATCCTGGACAGCAAGAGAGCCATTCAAATAAAGCTACCACTAATAAAAAAGGAAAAAAGCGACAATTACAATGGAAAAAGAAAAACCTAGTTCTAAACGACCAGCAGTTGCGATTTACAGGAAATACTACTTTACCACCTAATTTACTTGAGCTTGATACACCAATTCAATTCTTTTTATATTTTTTTCCCAAAGAATTGATAACTTTTATTACAGCACAAACAAATCTCTACATAATACAAAAAAATCCTAACCAATCCTTTCAAATTACCGATACCGATATCCAGCAATTTATTGGAGCAACTTATCTGATGTCATTGATAAAATTGCCAAGAGTAACCAGTCATTGGAACACAACTATTGGTACACCCATGATTCAAGAAATAATGCCGAAGCAAAAATTTGAAAAAATTAGACAGTATATCCATTTCAATGACAATTCTAATTTACCCCCACGTAATTCAGCTAATGGTGACAGGCTTTTCAAAATTAGACCTATCGTAGAAACTTTGAATAGGACTTTTAGTACAGTTCCATTGGAGACATACCTTTGTGTGGACGAACAGATTTGCTCCACTAAGGCAAGATGTAATTTGAAAAGATACAATCCCAAAAAACCACACAAATGGGGTTATAAGATTTTTGTACTAAGTGGGGTCTCAGGTTTTGCCTATAAAATTGAACCTGAAACAGGAGCTGAAAATGTTGTGCTTCCTGATGAACCAGATTTAGGAGCATCTTCAAACGTAGTCGTCAGAATGGCGCGGGGCATACCAAGGCATCAGAATTATCAACTTTATTTTGATAATTACTTTACTTCCTTGGCATTACTGGAGTACTTAGCTAAAGAGGGTATATTGAGTCTTGGGACAGTACGACGCAATCGTATTCCAGATTGTAAACTACCCGCTGACAAGGAAGTCATGAAAAAAGAACGCGGATTTTCAGTTGAATATGTAGCGAATATGGACGGAATTGATGTGTCAAACGTTATATGGAAAGACAATAAAGTTGTAACGCTTGTATCATCTTTTGCTGGTGAATTGCCAAAGGCCCAAGTTAGACGATACGATAAGGCCAATAAGAAGTATATCAACATTGATCGCCCTCATGTTGTCGGTGAATATAATCGGCATATGGGAGGCGTAGATTTGATTGACAGCATTATGGGAAGGTATAAAATTTTGACACGAAGTAAAAGATGGCAGGTTCGGATGTTCTATCATTTATTAGATCTGACTATGGCCAATTCTTGGCTATTATATCGAAGAGTAAGGCAGGCAAAAAATTGCAGTGACAAACAAATGTCTTCAGCAGATTTTCGCCTTGAGATCGGTGAGACTTTATGCAAGATGGGTTTGAAACCTAATATCAAGCACCGAAGGACGATCGAAAATGAAATCCAAGCCAAAAAACATAAAGGGCCAGCGCAACATGTCCCCCCACTGGCAGTAAGGCAGGATCAAATTGGCCACTGGCCGATTTGGGTAGAAAAAAGGGTTCGGTGCAAATTTCCCAAATGTACTGGTGTATCACAAACGATTTGCGAAAAATGCGGAGTAGCGTTATGTTACAATAAACAAAATAATTGTTTCAGATCCTTTCATACCACATAATTACATTTTCTGTTAGTTTATGTTACAGTAATGTTACATTCCCTAAAATGTCAAATAAATAAAAAATAATAAATATTTTTTAAATTTTGAGAAATACGTGTTTTTTTATTTGTTTAAACCTGTCTTATCCCAAAGTAATTTAAAATAGTATGATCTTGGGCTACAAAGGGTTAACTTGAAAAAATGTCCGAAATCACATTTAACAAAAGGTTACGTCGAAGCAAGAATTAAAATTATTGAAGAGCATTGGTCATCTTTTAAGTAAACTCACGAGGATTTAACCCGAATAACGCCCAAAGAGCAAAGGTCGATATTACAGTACTTCGTTAACAAAGATTATTTTATATACGATTAATTTATTTATTCATTTCAATACCTATTTATTTATTTACATTTAAAATATATATACATGCATTGGAAACACACTGCCGGCCCGTCTACTCATTTTTATATGTAGTTATGATCGTAAGACCGCTCGGTTTGACCGCTGACCGGCCAGAGGTCAGAGCGGCCCGTCCGGCCGGCATACGTGACTAGTTCGTCGACCGATAACGGCAGGTAACAGCTGAGCATTTTAATCGCCAATTTTTTATAGTTTGTGTTACTTCCTTCCTATTCTCCTTCTTCGTACTTAAACTTACTTTTTGTGAACTGTTATATGTACTATATGTGTTATTGACAATTGTGTTGTGTATTAAGATTTAATAAACAATTACCACCGATAACATCTCTTTTCACTATAACTGGTGACCCCGCGGTTGGACATAAAAAGTGTAAATTGAGTGATAGTAGTGACTCAGCAAAAACCGCGAGTTCTCAACCGGATGCCAAAATCACCACGCGGCATACGCGAAAAATGCGCGTTTCCACGGACCGTCAGGACATTACTGGGCGAAAAATAAAAATTAAGGTTACCCCGTTTTCACCCGAGGATCCGGAATTATGGTTCGCCTTATTAGAAGGTCAGTTCGAAAGTGAAAATATTAGCGATGACCACATTAAATTCACTAACGTCACGAACAACCTGGACATACAGTACGCAAAGTCAATAAAGGACGTTATAATAAATCCCCAGGCGAAAAATAAGTATGATAAAATTAAGACCGAGAGGTCTTACAATCATAACTACATATAAAAATGAGTAGACGGGCCGGCAGTTTGTTTCCAATGCATGTATATATATTTTAAATGTAAATAAATAAATAGGTATTGAAATGAATAAATAAATTCTTTAATAAATTAATAAATAAATTAATAAATTAAATAAATAAATAAATAGGACGCTACATATATATGTATATTTATATTATATATATATTTATTAGTTTGTGTATTATGTACTTATACCACATATAAGTAAAAAGTTACTGTACCCTTCCCATATATCAACATTATGATCCTTTACCCAAAGGTTGCCTGGAAGAGATCGCTGCTTAGCGATAAAGCCGTCTGTTGCACCTCATGCAACTAATATGTAATGAAAATGTTATTTTTTAGTTTAAGTATTGGGTGCAATAAATAATAAATAAGGCTTATATTTGATATGGGTGGCAGATTTACAAGATATATTAACCTCATCGTCTGAATCATCTGTATCGCATAATTCAAGTTCGAGTGCAAATAATTCATAACAACTTATCAGGTTGCCAAGAATCGAATTACCTAGGTTTAGCGGAAATTATGTCACATAAGTAGCCCAATGTATAACATAAATAATGTGAAAGAGCGATAGTAAAAGGTGCAGTGACAAACGTATAAAGTGCAGTGAATTCCGTAGTGCGCGTTATGTGAACAAGGCGACATTGCCTATGTGTATCAAGTGCAATAGGTCAACTGCATCACCACAATTAAGCAATTCTTCATCTCCATTTATAGTTCCAGCTGACATTCTACCAATTCCAGTGGTTGAGCCACCTTCAACGTCAACTAGGCGAGGTAAAGCCATGGTAGTCACAGCTTCACCACATAAACAAGAAATAATAGATGCAAAAAACAAAAAAAAAAGGAAAAAGAAGAAATAGAAATGTAAAAAAAATACGACAGGAAAAAACAAAAACAAAAAACAACGTAAGAATCTGTCTTTTGATGAGGACACGTCTGATGATGATGACCCAATTTTAGTTTCTACTGATGAAGAAGATAGTGACGATAATGACGCTGAATGCCCAGTTTGTTATAAAAGTTTTTCTCAAAATAAAAAGGGAGAGAAATGGATAAGGTGCAAAATAAAAAGGGGGGGAAGGGTAGAGAAATGGATAAGGTACATAATAACTCCCCTATATCCACCACCTCGAAAACCTGTGTTCGGATCAAACTCCCCAGTTTCCAGATTAGCAAGCTGGTCAATGATTACAGCGACGTGTTTGACATTCATGACGACTCAACTAAAAGAATTCGGTCACTGTTAAACACACTCCCCCTTTCACCTTAAATTGTATTTGTCCTGTCTTATGAATCACTTTTAGTTTTTAGTTTTTAATTTAATTTTTTCATTCAGTATTTCATTTTTTATTTTATTTTGTAAGTTTACATTTTATTATTTTATTTCTTTTTTATATTTTTATTAAAATTTATTGGTTTTGTTTTTACTGCGGCTCGCGCTGGGAGGAATATTAAGCACGATGTATCTACCTGTAAATGTTTGTCACACCTAGTTTTAAGTTATGTGTATTGTGTATTTTAAGTATGTGATGATGTGTACAAATGTTGGTAGATCAAATTAATAAATAATAATAATAAGGTGCACAAAATGTTTCGAATGGATGCATGAGGATTGCGTTGATAATCCAAGTGTTAATTTTATTTGTGCGTTTTGTTTTGAGACTTAAAATTACTTAAACTAAACCAAGGATTAATGAAAGTCTGATTACATTATTATAATAATAATGATTATGAATAATTACTGTTAGAAATACAATTAAAGTTTACGTACTGATTAGGAGCCCAAAAAAAAATGTTATATTATAAATTTTTGTAAGAGCTGTTTTTGTAGGAAAAGTAAATAGTTTATTTAGTTATTGATTATGTCAAATAATAAAGCAATGTTTACTTAAAGTTTGATGTTCTATTTATTAATCTACTCCTAATATATTTTTTGTATTTTCTATTTTTCAAAAAGGGGACGAAATTTGGCGACTATACCTTATCAATATTGTCTTATTTTATCTTTTATTTCATATGCGTTGTTTGCTTTTCTTAAATATTACTTAAGTTATCTTATTTTTTACCATAATTTGTAAACTTTCATAGCATTTATAATTTTTTCTTTGTATTTCTTCCTGTCGGGAGTATGTATGGGTTTACCCATACATTTACATAATTTCATTGCATGTATATTGCATTTATAAGCAAATATAAATGTATGCATTGTTATAATTGAGTCAGTATCAATAAAGTGTCCAAGTTAACTCATTACATTACAAATCTTCACATTCTTATTTGTCATACTCTAAGTTGCTCGATAAATAGCTCTAATTTCCTGGCCTAGTTTATCAACCTGTGAAATCAAGTGTTCGGACCCCACGATACAGGTCTCCTAGTGTGGGGTCTAAAGACAATGGAAATTTTAAAATTTGTTGAAACATAATGCACCTCAACCTTGATGTATTACTGTGTAAGCATTGTGTTTTTTTCTCAATAAAGTTTATTATTATTATTAATATAAATTAAGGAGTCTTGCATCGAGAAGAAAACTGTTGAGTACAATGTCCTTATATAATATTTGCAATTCTAATTTAAATTGTCCTCAATTGTTAAGGCTACATAGATTTCTTGGTACCTAATCGAGTTTCATTGCGTAATACACGAACATCTAGATTATTTAAATTGAAAAAATGTCGAACTAATGCTGGCAAGCGTGCACCATTGTACCAAATGACCCAAACGTACAATGCTGAACTTTATAATGCTGACATTTTTGGGTTAACAATAGGTGCGTATAAAAAAAGAATTAAAGCCATTACCGAGAAAGTAAATAATAATAATAATAGTCAAAAGTAACAATAAAATCAAACTATATATTATGGGTGTATGTGTATTTATATGTGTTATGTATATATTTAATATTGTTATTATTATTTTTTAATTATTCATTACAATATCTCTCATACCATAGTTATTAGTTAGTAAGATTTTATTGTAATATCTCTTTTATTTCTATTGTTGAAGTAAGTAGTGGATGACGGTGTGATTTGTACATAGATTAAGTTTATTAAATTATATAAAATATATTTTCACATAATATGTACAAATGTTGGTTGTCCATATGTACAAATGTTGGTTGTCATTTTCCAGTTAGCACTGAGTAATTTTATAGCTTTATTATATATCCTTTGTTTATTCTTAGTATTGTTTTTTATGATTACTTGCTTGTATTATTGATTTGATTAAATAACATAGGTACTGCCATTTGTAATTTTTTTGCTTATTGAATTAGCTTAGAGTACATATTTAATATTTTGATTTATATAAATGCATTTGTCCAGAATATTTGTAAAAGGACCTGATAGTCCATTTGGGGGGCGGAATGTTAACCCATTTAGACCTACCGTCTCACATACGATACACCAAAAGTAATAAATTATTTTGAAGTTCCGTCGATAAGAATTTGTTTTTATTTGGAACCAATGTGAAGTGCAAGGTCTGTGCAACATTCCTAGAAGAGTTTATTTGTTATAGTCGAATACACAAGTTGACTACATACATGGTTTGTTAGTGATTTGTGCATTGTGATCATATGATGGTATCAAAACGGTAAGAAATGCAATATTTTTTCAAATTATCTCATATTTATAACAATTTATAATTAGAATACAAGTTAAAGCGTAAATTGAGTGATTTAGTTTTATTATTTCTTGGAAATTTTTGCATGCTTTTTACTCGTAAACTATAGTGTATCGTATTTGATACAGTAGGCTAATACGCACAATATATTTCTCATTTCAGACTTACATTGAATGAAATTGTCATTCTGTTAGAAGATGAAATCGAAAATAGTTTCACAGAAAATGATATTTATTTACTACCACCTGAAAATGCAAACGGGTTGTTGACTGATGAAGATTTTGGAGACGAAGATAAGGTCGAAATCAACAACCTACCACCGAGCTTGTTGAGAACGAATGCTGAGTTGCATGGATCAAATTCAGAAGATTCTAAAAGTCAACAATCAGGTCTCACTACGCAAAACATCCAAAGAGTACAATTCGAGAAAAAAAATCTTCAACGAAGCAAAACCGACATGGAAACCTATGTTCCATGTTCCTAATCAAATGTCGCCTATCGAATGGTTTTCTTTATTTTTTTCAAAAGATCTTTATCTATTACTCACTACTGAGACTAATAAATACTTAGGAAGGAAAAATCTTCCCGTTGATATGAAAATGGAAGAAATGAAGTGTACTATAGGCATTTTGTTAGTAAGCGGCTACTGTCAAGTAAATAGAAGACGTATGTACTGGGAAAACACCCCTGATACAAAAAATGATCTGATTGTTGATGTGTTGATCTTTCAGATAAAACATATCATCTCTCCGGACAAGTATTCGCGGTAAGGAGTGGTATATGCTATTCATTCTGCATTGTATAGACATGTCACTTCAGAACGCCTGTCTACTATACAAATATAATGGTGGTAATGTCGATATGCTGACTTTCAGGCGTCGCGTAGCTATCGCACTTATAGAATCAAATACCCTTAGAAGTAAACCAGGCCCTAGCAGACCATCCTCACTAACCATGGATACGAGGTTTGATGAAAAGGGTCATTACGTCATCAAACAACCACAGAATAAACGAACAAGATGTGGCTTGTGTCATCGATCATGTCCTGCAAGATGTGTAAAGTGCAATATTGGACTTCATATTGATAGTTTTCTTACCTATCATACCAAAAAATAATGGTGTATATTTTTGTCAATAAATACTTTTTGCTTTAGATACTGGAATTTATGCTTTTATATAAACCTACTGTATCACATAGGATACGGCCCATCTCAGACCCCCTATGGAATCGATTTTTTTTTAAATATTTTTTTCATTAATAACAATGTTCAATGATACGATAAAAATAGAAAAAGTACATATTTTTCGAAAAAAATAGTTTCCGGTCTAAATGGGTTAAGTTTATCTTTAATGTATAAACAAATTATTACTTCGAACCTAGTGTAGTACTCGATCTGTTTAAATCTTGAGTCAATCGCAAATAAACATCGTATTAGGGAACAGATATCGTGGTTTTCTTTACTTTTGTAATAGTACCGGGTTATATCTGGTAATAATAATTATTTTGTAGTAAAATATAGAATTCCACCATGCTAGAACACTAAAAACTTTTTCCACATCTTTCCACCACTTAAAATAAATGTGCTTTTAAAATAATATTAAGGGTTTTTTTTATTGTTTAGCTAATTTACAATGTCGTCGTTTCTTTGCAGATTCGACAGCATGTCATTCAGACGTCTCGGAAATCTTTGTATGTGATTTTTAAAGAGAGTCCTGCTAAAAAGTTAGATGACAATGTATCATTTATGGAAAATAAGCTCCGAGAAATAATGAAATGTCTCCAGAACGAGTTTCAAACTTTAGGTCACGATTTAAGACATTTTAAATCAGATTTAGAAAAGAGATGGGTATCGTGCAATTATTTTGAAAACAGATTTATGATAAAAAAAACGAAAGTAGGCTTAGTAATTCAATACCAGTATATACATGGAAGCAAAACACCAAGCCAGGGCGCCCAAGCAAGGACTTCCAAGTAAAAGACGGAAAACAAAACAACTTCGTGAGGAGGTACCAGTTTAGTCAGTTTAGTCAGTCAAAATGTGTCAGGAAATGCTGCGGCTTCGAAACTCATAAAAGATGCAATATCTTCACCAACAAGAGCGAAGAGTACAGAAAAGTAATAAATACTACTCATCAACCAAAATAAAAAAAGTACACACCTGATGAAACTTGGAGCATTTTTATCGATGGTGGCTTTACAAGGAAACAATAGGAGTTACTGCACAATGCAACTAAAGGTATATTTTTCCTTGTTATACCCTTATTAGAGAAGCAAAAAACTGCTATCCTAAACCAGAGGCAATTCGAGTTACGGAGACTTGTGTAGAAGTTGTGCTCCAAGACTTACTGGATCACACAGTCTTTATCTTGAAGATGTACTCCAAAACTGTACAACAAAAGAATTGGAAAATCTGGAGCCCATTTCAAAATGGGGTTGTGATGGCTCTCATCACACTACCTACCAAAAAAAGTTTTTAGACAGCTCTCATGATGACTAATATATTTCAAAGTTCATTGGTACACTTGAGATTACAGTCACATATTGGAAACAAAATGATGACTTTATGGCAAAATTCGACACCATCATCTACTCGGTTTTGTCGGTCAATCCGGATTCAATTTCTCCGAGAAACAGTGGATATAACAAATGATGAAATAAAGTATGTAGAAGACCAAACAAAACAACTATTAAGAACTGAAATAGAAAATCATAATAGAGCCACTTTCGTGCGACATACATTACTCCCAACCATGGTTGATGCAAAAATTTGCAACGCAGTTACTTCCATGTCATCCACTATGAGATGTTACATATGTCTCAAAACTTCCAAAGCTTTTAATGATTTCGAAAATTTAAATGCAGAGGATCCAATTCAGAGAATCCAGAGGATCAACTTAGGAGCATTTTAGGTTTAACCAATCTTACTTTCGAGGAGATGACTACACGCTTATCACTCTCCAATGATCCTTTAGACCTTTAATCATGCTGCCACATTCACAAGTCCACAGCTCCAACGTCACCAACTTGCAACGGTTTTGGTCGTATAGAATACCTCAAGCAACACTTTTGGAATCGGTTTTCTAACGAATACGTCGCATGGCGTAGTGCAGGCGGACCTGGAGGAAAAGGTTGCCTCGTAGGAAATGCTGGCGTGGACTAGAGCCAAGGCCGGCTATCGCGCAGCCACCATCCTTTAAGCGGACCACTCAGTTGAGGAGATGGAGCGATTGGCGCTAGGATACCAGGAGGAGATTTTTGAAGTTGCCTCCAAGTCCTCAAATTTGTAGGGGACTTTTCAGAAGAAGGAGCTGTCGCAAAAGTTTACGAATGTAAAAAAATATGTACATGTACACATGTAAATCCTGACGCAGAAAGGCTAAGAATTGTAGAAGGTGCATCAGCAATTACTAGAGAAGATATCCGAACATCTAAAGTTGAAACTAAAACTTATCCACCTCCTAGTAAAATGTTAGATTATGTTAATCAACAAATTCCAAAAACTTTATTACATTTTTTAGAAGACGTCATCGCCTCCATGTTAGCGCGTCTCCGCGGCTCCCCCAACGGAATGCTGAGTGTGTTTGTTGAAAGGTGGAACACGCCAATATTCTATAAATGGGTAAAACTACATACAAGGCCATGGATTAGCAAAAAGTAACGTTGACGAAGAAGGCGATATTCTGGTAATGTTCCTCAAAATAGTCGATGTTAGTGGAAAATTGTTTAAATTAGTGGAGAATGTCATATCGGATGTTCCGTATGAAGATTTGATTAAAATTCTACCAAATTCAAAGGTGGTTAAGAAACGAAGAAGACAGTTTTTCAAATTTGATGAACCTTTGCCAGTGTTCAAAAAGTAAGACTGATTAGGACTAGTATGGCTTGTGGAGAAAGTAATTTGATGTTGATGATTATTATTTTATTTAAATTTTTCAGTCAAGTTGGACATTTTATTTTTTTTTATTTAGTTGAGCCAAAAGTCTTATAATTTAATTATATTGTAATTAATACTGATCTCCCATTCCAAAGGTTCTGCAATGTGATTTCATTAATATGTAAGTGTCGATTTAAGAAAGCTGAAGACTGTTAAAAATTTAATTTTGTTAAAAAAGTAATAAATGTTACTAAATAAGTATATTTCAAACCGATTTTAATTAAAAATACAACCTGATATTTTAAAGAATAACAACTCTGTCACCTACTCTACCACTTTGTCACGATAATGTCTCCTGGTTGTCAAATGTATGTAGTCCTTTTTATACTTTGTTATGAGTACAATTTCGGAAACATCATATTAAAAATAGTTAACTATAATATAGTCTACGACATTAATAGTTCTGTGCTATAAGTGGTTATAATTGAATTATAGCAACAATATACTTCAAACTAGCTGCAATTGTGACAGAGTGGTATAAGATTAAAAATATCTAATTATTATTATGTACAGAAGTTTTGCTTTGTACGTTTTCTAATAGAACAATTTCACTATTATTGTAATAAATAATTAGCAAGTTATTGGAGTTAAACTATGTATTTGATACAAAAAAATAAAAGATATTGTGACGGAGCTGTACAATTATTAGCCCAATTAATCTTTAAGACATTGAAAATCTTACAATAATTTGTAAACTTCGCGGCCAACAACTTTTTCAGATGGAATAGACATTTAGCTGGCAGAAAACATAAACGATTTGACTACAACGCCTTATATATTTTTTTTTAAATTTGAGTAAAAATTTTAACAACATAGTAGGTTAAAAAAAATAATGACCCAATTGACGACTTACAGCACCGGAAATTACTCGGGAGTTGAACAAAACGCGAATAAAAAAAGTATCAATTTCTACTGTGAAGAATCGCCTGTCAACTGCTGGTCTTCGTGGTTGTGTGTCAGTAAAAAACCATTACTACGAGAAATACATAAGAAAAAAAAACAGCATGAATATTGGACAGTGGAACAATGGAAAACTGTACTATGGACGGATGAATCAAAATTTCAAATTTTTGGGTCTAATAGACGAGTCTTTGTAATTGTAGGTTGAATTGTAGGTGAACCATTCGTGTTTTAACAAGATAATGATCCCAAACATTCAGCGAGAGTATGCAAAACCTTTTTAGAAGAATAGGAATCGAGAAGTATTATTGAATTAATGGTGTGGTCTCCGCAATCACCAGACCTATCCCCCATTGAGAAATTATGGGATGAATTGGATCGAAAAGCTAAAGAACGTTTGCCACAGAGCGCCAGAGAGCTGTGGCAATATCTACAAGAAGCTTGGAAAGAAATTTGCGCCGAATACTTAAATAAATTACTAGAGAGAATGCCTAGAATCTGCCAAGCTGTTATAAAGGCAAGGGGTGGTCATATAGACGAAAATAAATTATAAATTAATTTCTTGATTAATAAATAAGAATTTGATTTTATTTTGTAGTTTGACTGCTGTTTTAACAAGTACCTAATAATTCTCAATTAAATAATACATAAATCTCGAGTTATTTCTAAAATAGTTAGGAGTATTGGAAGTGCTTCCAAACTTTTTGTCGGTAGTGTATGTAACTATATCGCGTCCTGAACTGGTGCAATTATATAACAACGGTATGGGTGGTGTAGATAAAACCGATTAGTTTGTATCGTATTTTCATAAGATCCAAAAAATGGACATTACGAATGATATTTCATGCCATTGACCTAGCGCTGACCAATAGTTGGCTAGAATTCCAAGAAGATTGCAAAACCTGTAATATACCAAGTACAGACATTTAGATCTGTTGCACTTTCGGCAACGTGTTGCAGAGGCTCTTATAAAAATGGGGCATCCAATCCCCAGCAAAAAAAGAGGACGGCCTGCGTCTGGAGGTAGTAGTCCAGTACATTAACCAGTTACGCCAAAACGACATCGTTTTAGATTTGAAATAAGGCCTGCAAGAGAAATTCAGTACGACACAGTTGACCATTTGCCAGAATATGATCAGAAAAAAGAAGCTACAAGATGTAAAAATCCAGGATGTAAAGGAAAGACACATGTTTACTGCCTGAAATGTGAAAAACATTTATGTTTTACCAGTGACCGAAATTGCTTCCGAAAATTTCATCAAAAACAAGAATAATCCATCCAATTACAGTGTTGTAAAACTGTGAAAATGAATAAACCATTATTATTATTATATATGGTTTTGCTTACTTATTTCGTTATAGTACCCACTACAAATCATTACATACTAAATAAATAGTACTACAACACAATAGACCCGATGTCCACTCAAGTGGACATTAATATTTCCAAAAATCTAAAAACTATAAATCGCATATTTACACAAAAATCCGTTAACTGCACTACTTACTCACAGAAAAAGCATAAATTTTTTTATACATGCTTTATATAAAATCAGGTCCGAAGAGGTTAATGTATTTTTAATATGGATGTAATTGGTCTGAAATAAATTATTATTATTATTATTATTAAAAAAAGGGAAAGGAGAAATTGATCATTTAAAAACGAAATGTACTTCTATAAGCTATGTAACGGGTGTCCCAACTAACGGGTGTCCCATCTAGCGTTTCGAATTTGAACTAACGATAATTTGACATTGGAGACGTCAACTGTCATCGGAGAAGTGTCACATATTTAGTAATAAGTCTGACATTTACGAAATGGGTCGCTATTCGCTTGAGGAAAGCTGGGAAATATTAAAAAATTATTTCCAAAGTGGTGAATCGCCAACGCAAACTGTGCGAAATTTGAAAAAAATATTTGCCAAAAAAGATTTGCCATCGGAGGCATATGTGCGGCAATTTGTGAATCGTGTGCGCGAAACTGGATCACTGTTGGATAAAACAACACGTAAACGTCCATTTCCAGCAAGGTCAACCGAAAACATCGCTGCGGTGGAACAAAGTGTTCGTGAACGGCCATCCACATCGATTCGTCATCGAGCGCAAGAGTTGCACCTTTCTCGGTCAACTACGCACCGAATTTTGCGCAAAGATCTTGCCCTGAAGCCATATAAAGTTCAGTTGGCCCAACAGCTGAAGCCAATTGATCATCCGAAACGTCTACGGTTCGCAAATTGGGCGGAAGATCGTTTGGCCGAAGATGGTGAGTTTTATCGAAAAATCATCTTTTCCGACGAGGCTCATTTTCACCTCGGCGGTTATGTAAATAAACAAAACTGCCGTATATGGGGCACAGAAAACCCGCACGTCGTTGAGGAGAAACCGATACATCCACAACGAGTGACTGTTTGGTGCGGATTTTGGTCCGGCGGCATCATCGGCCCATTTTTTTTTGAAAATGATGAAGGAGCCGCCGTAACCGTCAACGGCGAGCGCTACCGCGCTATGTTAACTGATTGGTTTTTCGGTCAAATGGAAGAGTATGATTTGGACGATATTTGGTTTCAACAGGACGGGGCTACGTGCCATACAGCCCATGCTACGGTCGATGTTTTGCGCCCAATCTTCGAAAATCGCATAATCAGCAAAAATGGTGATGTGAATTGGCCTCCAAGAAGCTGCGATTTAACACCATTGGATTATTACCTTTGGGGAGCGGTCAAAGACGTTTGTTACGCCAACAAGCCAAGCACGATTGATGACTTGAAACATGAAATTGAAGTTGCCATTGCTGCCATAAGGCCGGAAACAATTGAAAATGTACTGAAAAATTGGACTGATCGAATAGGGTACTGCCAAGTAAGCTGTGGTGGACATTTGACCGAGATAATTTTTCACAAATAATGTCATGAATTATGCTTTCAAATAAATGTTTGATCATTGAAATCTATCGAGTCGTTCTTTTTTTATAGCCTTTTTAAATTCGAAATTTTCCGTGAGACACCCTATAGAATATAATTTTTAAATTTGCAACCATTTTAAGTGTCATTGTTTGACATTTGAACAATTGTTATTGATTGCTTGTAGAAGGTACGAGGTTAATAAAAATGGAGCCCTACACGAATGAACAACGCATTCTCTTTGTAATATTGTTTTAACAAAATGGTGAAAGTTTTTTCTGCTACAGTTCGTAAAATTGCGATCATTTTGGGGTCACAATAATGAAAGTACACAATTTCATATGTCATACAGCCAGAGAAACAATTCAATTGCTGCATCAGTCATTTCCCAGTCGTGTTATTTCGCGTTTTGGAGACCAGAATTGGCCGCCGAGATAGTGCGATTTAACACCTTTAGATTATTTTCTTTGGGGTTTTTTGAAGTCGATGGTTTACGCGAATAAGCCGACGACGACTCAAGCCTTAAAATAGGAAATTGGACGCTGCATTAATGAAATACCGCAGTATTTATGCAAAAAGGTCCTTGAAAATTTCATTAAAAGATCGCGTGTGCCTGCAAAGCCGCGGCGGCCATCTGCACGATATCTTGTTCCATACATAACCTCATTCTATCTACTTTACGATATAATAAAGTTTCACGATATTTTTTTTAATATCTGTGTTTTATTTAAAATATAAAAATTGCGTTCTAGTTGGGACACCCTTTATTTATAGCTGCCATTTACAACCAGACCAAAAGCGAAAGAGTAGGCAGCCATATGACATGTATCTTTATAAGTTTACGATAAATCCGTCGTGTTTGGATACACTGAAGTTCAAGTTGAAAATATACATGACATTTCCAGATAGACATACGTCACAAAACCTAGCACAAGAACTGAAAAGAATCACAGATATGTGGGAAATTACCAAGAAAATTGTAGCAGCAACAAGTGATAACGCTTTTAATAACAAAGCTGCCATAAAATTGAATAATTGGAAACAAATATCCTGTTTCGCTCATACTTTGAATCATATAGTCCAATCTGCGTTGAGAGAAATTAAAGATATTACAATTAAAATTAAGAACATAGTTGAGGTATTTCGTAGAAGCCCACTCGCATCTGAAGGATTAAAAAATATACAAAAAAAAGCTAGATGAACCTTTATTGAAGCTCAAACAAGACGTTTCCACACGCTGGAACTCTACTTGCGACATGTTTGAAAGGATATTTGGGCTTTGGGTCAAAAGTCGTCTTCTCACTATGTAATAAAACTAACTTTTTAACTTTTGTTAACTACAAAATAAAGCGTCAGTTTGTAAACAGTAACAGCGGCAGTGAAATTGTAAAGAATGGGTGAACATGTATACAAGTTCATGACCTTTAATTGTACAAGTGCCAAACTTTCTGCACAGGCTATCCGTGATTTATGTAAGCAAGGTGATGTAATTGCCTTACAAGAAACATGGCTTTTACCGGACGAGATCTCATTCTTAGACGATAAGCGACGAGTTTAGCTGCACAGGAGTATCGGCAGTGGATACATCAGCCGGCATGCTGTATGGCAGGCCATACGGTGGGGTTGCGCTAATGTGGAGACGAAGCCTGTTTACGAATGTGATTGTTGTTCACTGCGCTAATCCTCGTGTCTGTGCAGTAAAAATAACATTGAATGATAAATCATTTGTAGTGTTCAGTGTATACATGCCAACGGATTCTGTGGCGAACCTAACGGACTTTACTGATGTACTTAGTTCGGTGAGTGCGACTTTAATGCACATCCGGCCAAACAGTTTTATAATGAACTTAGTAGTTTCTGTAGTGAACAAGATTGGAAAAAATACTATTCCAAATGCTGGATGGATGAACATGCTGGATGTTCAGTGGTGTACTTTGAAAATTTTTTCACCAGTCTAGAGCTAATACATATGCTCCGATATAATATGGGTATAATTTCTCAACACATTTCCAAGGTAGAAAACCTTGCAAAGCAATTGAAAGAAAGTGGAGAGAATGTGAGGGAAACAGCAGTTATGACCAAAATACTTGGTACTCTACCTGCAAAGTATAGAACCCTCCGTCAAGCTTGGTTGTCGTTAGACCCTTCAATACAAAATAATATATTATGAACTGAGCGCTTACTTGAAGAGAAAGCAAGTGTATCTTGAGGAAGAACAAGAAACAACCTTGTTAGTAACTAGCTCAAAGGAAAAAAGGCAAACAAAAAAAGATGAACACCGTGGTAATGCACCCAAACAAAACACAAGTCCCAAACATCGTGTTGAGCGTTATCATTGTGTTAATAAAATCAGAAAATTGTTAAAAGAACATTTTCTTAATAAATAATTTATATTATTTTTTGGAAATTAAAATTGTATATCGAATTAATTCTAGTCTAGTAGTATTCTTGACTCTTTCTGTTATTATTTTTTTACTGTAACATTTTAATTATTTTTAAGTGGAAACTTTATTGGCTTTTAATCCAGAAATAATTATTTAATTTTATGTAATAATTCACTGTATGTTTCCCAAATAAAAAAAAAAGAGTGTCGAGCTCGAAGAAAATTTACAACAAAGCCCAGGAATATGATGGCTTTCAATATTGAAAATAGAATTGAAATAAAAGATGTTGATATTTGGATCTTAGACAGTGATGCTTCAGCTCATATAACTTATAAAAAAAGCATTTTTACTCATTTAGAAAAATGCACGCAGAGGTCATTGACACTAGGTTGAAGTATGTAAAATTGGAAGTATAATGATGGAAAGGTTTGTCAATAGACAAAGGCACTCCGGAATATTAAATTACTGTATGTACTCTATGTTCCTAGTTTGAAGAGAAATCTATTCTCTGAAGGTGTTAAAATGCTTCAAGGTTACTCACTAATTAAGAAAGGAAATAGTGCATTAATTTATTTGAACAGAGAAGTCTCGATGACGGCAGAAATAAAAACAAACAACCTATATGAGTTGAATATTAGAGTTGTTGTTCGTGAAAATGTAATTTAGTACAAGATTGTATTGACATCAGAAAGTGGCGTGAAATACTAGGTCATATAAACTTGAAGGAATTAAAAAAGTGAATGCAAAATAATGTAGTTGAAATTTGGAAAATAAAAGGTGATAGAGTAGAAAACTTCACTTGAGAAGCATGTGTTACGCCAGCATAACTTTATTAAATTAAATATTAAATGCTGACAGCACGAAACCGATGGGAATGGAATGAGGTAAAAACGACACCACATACCGCGGAATTTTGCTGAACGATTATAAAGATCGTAGTGTGACTATAACGGGACAGTACTACGCTTCTTTATTAGATAGATTGAAAGAAGCTATCAAAGAAAAAAGAAGAGGAAAGCTGTCAAAGGGTGTGCTCCTTTTGCACGACAACGCAACAGTCCACACGTGCCATGTTGCGACGGCTGCCATTCACCGATGCGCATTCGAAAAATTAAACCACCCACCTTACAGTCCAGACTTAGCCCCTAGCGACTATTATTTGTTTCCAAAAATGAAAAAAGAGCTGCGTGGCAAAAAATTTGGCGATGATGAAGTCAAGTCCGCAATTTCGGCCTATTTTGATAGCCAAGACAAATCATTTTTTTTCGATGGTATAAACAAATTATTTGAGAGATCTGAAAAATGTATTAAGGTTAAGGGAGAATATATTGAAAAGGAAAAATAGTTTCGTGTTAAATTTCAACCCCCTTCGAGCTCATTCCGCGAACTTATTGACCTCCCCTCGTAGTAGCTAAATCCTTATATTATACATAATAAAACAAAAGTTACTTTTTAATGTACGACCTATCTGAAGCAATAAAGTTTTTATTATTATTAAACCCCCCGGTGGCCAGTTACGCCTGAATGAGTCCGAGGAAATGGACATCGTGAATGTGTTAATAACCGCGGTTGATTTTGGTTCCCCATTATCTCGACTAGATCTGAGTTTAGTGATCTTTAAATATTTGAACAAAAATCATCGTTCTTGTCTTTTTTCCGGTAAAATACCAGGTAAATAGCGGGTTAAATTTTTTTCAGTAGACATCAGCATGTTCTGACCTAGCGAGCAGTAGAGAACATTAAGAAGGTTCGAGCAAAAAAAAACTGTTAACCAGTTTGAGTAATCTTGAACGCACTGTAGAAAAACGGCCGCAATACAAGGAGAGACATGATAAAGTGATTTTACAGCACGACAATGCTCGACCCCATGTTGCGAAAGTGGTCAAGACATACTTGGAAACGTTGAAATGGGAAGTTCTACCCCACCCGCCGTATTCTCGCTAGTATTCGGAGCGCTAAAGTTATATTTAGTATAGCTGAATTGTATACCTCAAGACCTCCATGCGTTTTGACATGAAGCTCAAGGGGATGCATCACCCACAGAAACAAAAGCTCGTGGGGGTCCGGACCATACAGGATCTGAACCTTATACCTCAGGTTCTGGACAAGGCCCGATTGAAAAAGTGCTCACACCTCAGCCAAATACTGGAGAGGCTGGTTTACACGGGTGAGAGACCGCACCTGCTCATCGGCCAGGGCAATTGGTCGGTGATCAATAGACGAGCCACCAAGAAAGGAAAGAAGGGCCAACCTGTCGCCTCTTTGACCCAGTTAGCATGGGTCTTAGACGGCTCGGATAACAGAGAGTCGCCAACCGAGAAAACCACGATGTGCGCACACCTGATAGCTCCGGAGGAGAATTTGGATCGGCTCATAAAAGAGCATTTCGACATTGATTTGCTGGGGGTACAACCGCGTCGACCGAGAACCGAAAGCGAGGGCAAGGCCCTAAAGACCTTGGAAAGTACCACCAGACGAATGGAGGACGGCCGCTTCGAGACCGGTCTCTTGTGGCGAAACAAGGACGAGCCAACTCCGGACAACTTGAAGTCCCGGACCGTAGACCCCCGACCGCAACAAGTAACTTTAAATAACTTAATCAAAGCAGATAAAATTGAAGAAACTTTCCCAAACATAAAAATTTATTAAAAATATTTGCCTGATGCTTTACCAATTGTCGTGGAAAGCGTACATTTTCGCAGTTCATAGAATAAAAAATGAATTTCGTATAACATGTTACAAGAACTACTAAACCATTTGTTAATTATGTGCTTTGATAATGACGATTTTAACGAAAGAAACCATCATCGTAACCTGAACCAAAGAACAGAAGCATTCGAATATCATTGTTGACATATAACATCATACTGTATTTGTTTACCTCTAATAACTTATTCATTATTGTTTTAACGTTTCTACAATTCGTCTTTTTTGCTTCCCAAAAGAGATTCACATTCTTATTTGCCCAAGATCCCACAACTTAGTCAAAGACTGTCCAGAATACATGAGCAATATAAGAGTCCATACAGAAAAAGAAGAGCATCGATATCCAAACATATTACAATACCCCGGAGAGATGTATAACAGACAGCTTACAATGCAAAAACAATACAAATTGTAGTAAAGTAGGTAATTCGATATAACTTGTCCAAGATATTAGATATATGTATTTAATAGACAGTTTGTGTAGTTACGATGTCATTGGAAGAAAGCACGTCTATTTATTTCCCCCTATTTGACGATAGTTTAGAAATTACCAACAAAATTATATCTCCCACGTGCACGAAAAGTTCTGTAGCGGAGCTACTTAGATTTAGAACAAAATATTTTAAACTTGTATTGCAAATTTAAATTTATATAGTAATAGTGTATAATAATTTATATAGTATTTAGCAATTGTTTAAAATTAAGTTCATATTTTTTATTTCTTGCGACGTACAAACTTTTGATTAAATTATATATAGCGAGGATGCCCGCTGCGTCTATTGTTCGCGACGTCCGGGCCCGCGCCCGGCTCGTCAATCCGCATATACGTTAGCTGTGGAACGCTTGTCCATTATCGTTAAGACGACACTCACGCGCGCACCCTCGCTTACATAAAATTGTTTATTTCGCTAAAGTTCGCTTTTACTCCCTGGTACGAGGGACACATAGCCGATTCATCCCGAAAAGACTTCATCACTTCACCTTCCAATTACCTTACAACGATAAAACGATTTAAAAATAACATTACATTACTCATTGACATTTTTTCTTGGGTTTTAAAGTGCTATCGGAAAGTCGTATGCATTAAAATTCAAAATAAAAACCAATGAACATAGACAATCCCTACTAATATTATAAATGCGAAAGTAACTCTGTCTGTCTGTCTGTCTGTCTGTCTGTCTGTCTGCTACGCTTTCACGCCTAAACCACTGAACTGATTTTAATGAAATTCGGTACAGAGATAGAGTTGACCTTGAGAAAGAACATAGGATAGTTTTTATCCCAGACTTTTGAAAGGTTCTCTTGGAAACGCGATATAACCGAACTCCACGCGGCGAAGCTGCGGGCGGAAAGCTAGTGTACACATAAAATCGCAAATAAAGTATTCTAATCTCTGACAATTAATATAGATTGCGTGACATTTAACAAGTCGTCATAAATAACTATGGACATGAAAAAAATAACACAATAATGGAAACAAAATAAACATAGAATGACGCATGTTGCAAAAAGACTCTACTTCTAAAACTGTTTATAGCAGTAGGTACTTAAGTTTTACATTTTAAGTGAATGTAAAATTCTTATGAGAAATAAAGTTCTTTATACAACTTAAAACTATTTTTCCTAAACTAGACAGAAAAAAAAGAAGTATACATACAGACACTAAAACCATTTGAGGTTCACTAATGATATAGGTGTAAAAGTTGAAATTGAGACACGTAGAACTCCGTTTCTTTTGGGTGAAGGCTCACGTAGGGATATATACGGCAAGGAGTTAGATATACTGCATCTCATATTCGAGTGTCCGAGGCACGACCTGGAAATAATAAAAATAATAATCATTTATTTCAGAACATATTACATTGTTCCATATAGTGTTAGTACGTTAAAAATTAAACTTGGATGAATTGGTTGGTAAATTTACAAAAGCAAAAGCAATTTTAAACATATTTAATAAGCATGGGAATAAAATTGACCGAATCAACAATCAGAAAAGTGATAGCTGACAAAAACTCCAGGCAGTATCTGGAGCGATTCTGCCTTAAGATTGTTAAAATCGCAAATAATTTACATAAAACAAGATGATGCTACACCACATACTTATACAATATGAATATCCATTTACATTCATTATTTACTTTAAATTCAATTGTATTAAGTTAATTTTATTGTAGTAATGGTCTTATGTTTGAAAATCAATTTTAACATATTTAATTTAATTATTTAATATGGCTTATATTTATTATTAGAATTCAATGTAATTAGAAATTGTAAAATTTTATTAGAATGTAATTATTGGAACAAAATATCAATTAAGATTATTATGTGACAAACTCCCCCATATACCCAAAGAAAATAGAAATAAGTTAGGTATGTACAAAATAATCAGAAAGTATGAAAGTGATGAATAAAAGAAAGAAAAAGTATGCACAATGGAAGACCCTAATGAATAAAAATGCGGGGATGGGCCAGTTACATCTCACAATATCCAGATAAAAGATGGACAAAATATGTTGTATATCCAATAATTTAAGTTTTATTTCAATGAGCACTCACAAAAATGTTAGATCTCATCAGAAGATGGACCTTTTAAGCCACATGGTGGAGATGATTAAAGGGGAAACTTGATGGTCCACAATTAAGATGGTGGGCTAACATAACATATTGAAGGAAATGATTTGATGAAGCCAGTACAAGACAGAGTCGGGGAAAAAATGGAAGAGACAGAACCAGTGGCGGCTGGTGGGTTATCGAACTGGTGGTTCACTTTACTAAAATATTGACAAAAACAACAATTGACATAAAATATGTTTATTTTTTGTACATTAAATCAATGCGACGACATTTTTCTGTAGCGAAATGTTCTATCACCTTTTTATTAAAATCTGGTATTTTTTCTATAAATTTCTTTTCAATACTAAGCACAGAAAGTGCATTTAGCCGATCCTGAGACATGGTATTTCTGAGAAAAGTTTTGATTCTTTTCAGTGTCGAAAAACATCGCTCGCTCTCTACTGAAGTCATTGGTATAGTATAGATGCTCCTTCATAACTATATCCAACTCTGATACAAAGTCTATTAATCCACGAAACACTCCAGCATTACTGGACTCAAGAATGCATTAAGACGCTCACATCCACACAACCATTTCTTTCTATTATACATTTCACTTTTAAAACTTCGTATAAATGCTTTATTTTTCGATTTACACTCTTGTTTTAAATTTAAAAAGGGCCGTGGCGGCCCGGCCAATTTTATGTTCACTTTACTTTGAAAAATTTTGTTATTTTCTTTAATATAATCAATATTTATACTCATTTTCAACTAATAAAAAACACAGTACAGAATAAAAGTTCTATTATAGAAACGAAATAAAAACTAAAACGAATTCCGGAAATAATTATAAACAATAACGAATTAACGCGTCACGCATACAGTGAAAGTTGAAACAATACCAATAAAGATTAACGAAATGTCAATCATAGCACCCATCCTTTCGGCCGGCCCCTTGCCGGCCAGCTCGATACGTCATACATCGGGTGCTCTCGGTAACCTTCGGCCGCTTCGTGCGGCGCTCGAGAACCGACTCGTTACTCGGTACATTTCTATGAACTATCTTTTGTCTCACGCGCCAGGCGTATTGATGCGTGTCTCATACAAGATGTATTAGCAGTCCTCGTGCACTCGCCGGAGCGCACGATATGAGTTTAGTAAAGCGCTCAAACTTTTTGACCATAATTGGAAATTAAATTTTTTATACCTTTTTGTATGTTTAAAAAATTAATATTAAAATGGTAATTTAAAAATTAAGATAACATAATATTTTGTAATTATTAAATATTTTGAATTGGTGGTTCAGCGCACGGGCGCACTTAAGGTACAGCCGCCACTGGACAGAACAGATATACATATCTCTTAAAAATACTGATATAAATTATGATTAGTAATTTCTTTCCTAATGATTTTTCTTTAACTCACAAATCCTTAATTGTAAATAGGAAAGTGAAGATATGGAATAAATGGCTTTTTTATTATCATTACAGAACTGAGATATTGTACATTGTACTACTACTTGACACTTCAAGTCTTTTACATTCTACATAATATGTTTAAATCTCAGTCACTTCCCTCTCCATATAATGTGTAGCTCATTGTCTTTAATATATTGTGTCTAGTGTAATCACACACTCATGTTTCATTAATAGCTACCTGGTTCATTGTTAGTTTTCATCTAACACTTGATGATCAGCCGTCATCTCCTGATGGATGAATCTCAAGTACAGTCCAATAACACCATCTGTAATACATAATACAATATATTAATACTGTTCACAAACAATATTGTTCATATATAAAGACATACAAAGGAATATGTAGCACATATTTCTATAAAAACTTGTTTGGAAAATATAATTGTAACTCAATTATTAACTTTAACAATATTTTTAATATCTCAATCTAAATAATTGAGCATAAGTACTATAGAAATGTAATATTGTCTTATTTTATAATATTCTACATATTCATATCTGGAATAATTTTACTGATTTGGATGACAAGCCTTCAGCAGATAAACAACTGCAAAAAAGTCTTAGGTAATATAAAGAAGAGTTTTCAAACTCTTAATAATATCAGAATAATATTAAACATTCAACAATACATACCGTCACACTACTATCGTACATCAGCTACATATACTTCTCTTCATAGAAGGTTTCCTTTCGTCCGCAGACCACGTCCTAACAGACGCTCCACCAACAGCTTCGACCCTAATCTTGAATTATATATTTTCACGAGTCCTGGAACGTTACGAATGATTCTATTTTATATAGAGTATAAAAAACCGCAAATAATATACATACATAAAACAAGATGATGCTACATCACATACTTATATGTACAATATGAATATACATTTACATTCATTCATTATTTACTTTAAATTCAATTGTATTAAGTTAATTTTATTGTAATATCGGTTTTATGATTGAAATTTAATTTTAATGTATTTAATTTAATTATTTAATATGGCTTATATTTATTATTGGATTAAATTAAATTTATTTTATATTTTAATTGTATTTACTTATTGGAATTTGATGTAATTAGAAATTGTAAAATTTAATTAGAATGTTATTATTGGAAAAAAATATCGAATAAAGATTATGTGACAAACTCCCCCATATACCCAAAGAAAATAGAAATAAGTTAGGTACACAATAATCAGAAAGTGATGAATGAAAGTAAGAAAAAGTATGAGGAATGAAAGGCCCTAATGAATGATGGAACTTGAATGAAAGAATAATAGAAAGAGTAAACAAGGGCTCTGATCATGTCAGAGGAAGTTAAAAAATAAAAAATAGCTGAAATTGACAAAGACCTTAGAGGAAGTCACAGATTCGCTGGACTATAAAATCTCCAAAATCAGCCTGAAAATGAATGCAGACAAAACTAACATAATAACCAACCATCAAGAACACCTTATAGTGATAAAAGGTAACATAGAATATTAGTGACTACCTCGGAGAAGAATTAACTGGTAAACATTGGAGAAGTAACAAGAAGAATTAACACAACATGGAAAAAATTATGGCCACGAAAATAATTCCTAAAAGAGAAGTATAACCTACATATAAAAAGGACAATCTTTACTAATATTATAAAGCTGAAGAGTTTGTTTATTTGTTTGTTTGTTTGAAAGCGCTAATCTCCGAAACTACTGGTTCGAATTGAATAATTCTTTTAGTTCCTGAAGGCTGTAGGCTATATAACATCACGCTACGATCAATAGGAGCAAAGATATAGTGGTAAATGTGTAAGAAACGGGAGAAATTATTTCATCTTTGAAGCTTCCCGTTGCGGGCGCCGTGAAAACGGTTCAAGATACACAAAAAATATGTGTTAAAGAATAATAGTTCTTTTAATGATCTAAAAAACAGTCCGCGACAGTATATGTCTATCTTTTAAGGTTAACTCACAAAAACCGTTTTTATGGTACCTAATTTGGTCAAAATAATTAGTTTAAGTTGTATCAACATAATAATATTAATCTTTATTCAAATAAACAAATAAATATGTTGTTGGTTAACAGTACTTCATTGTGAATTAAAAAAAACATAGGTTTTATCCTGAAAACTCTACGGGAACTCCACCATACCGAAAACCCCGCAAGAACGGGAACTATGTGGGAAGAACCAAAAATCTGCCGGAAGTCACTATTCCACGCGGACGAAGTCGGGGCAAAAGCTAGTATTTGATACACGCCTATTACCCTGCTTGCATTATGGTTGCCACACTTGGGAATACATAAATAAAATAAGTTTACAGTTAGATGGCCACAGAAATAAGCATGTTGACGGTTTGAAGAATACATAAAATTAACAACCAAGACATAAAAAACTGAACTTACCAATACTTTCAAGGATGTAATCTTATCAAAGCGGAGATGGGCCAGTTATATCTCACAATGAAACAAAAGAATGAACTAAACATGTTGTATATCCAAGAATTTAAGTTTTGTTTCAATGAATACTATCAAAAATGTTAGATCTCATCAGAAAATGGACCCTTTAAGCCACATAGTGGAAAGAACCAAATGGAAAACTTGCAGGTCCACAATTAAGGTGTATGGGCTAACATAACATATTGAAGGAAATGATTTGATGAAGTCAGTCAAAGACAGAGTCAGGGAAAAAGATGGAAGAGGCCTTTACCCAAACAGATATACATATGCTTAACAACACTAATATAAATTATAAGTAATTTCTTTCCTAATGATTTTGCTTTAACTCACAAATACTGAATTGTAAAACGAAAGTGAAGATATTAAATAAATGGCTTTTTTATTATCAATATATACTGAACTGAGATTATGTACATTGTACTACTACTTGATACTTCAAGTCTTTTACATTCTAATATGTTTAAATCTCAGTTACTTCCAGTGGCGGCTGTACATTAAGTGCACTCGTGCGCTGAACTACCAATTCAAAAGATTTAAAAATTACAAAATATTACTTCATCTTTATTTTTAAATTACCATTTTAATATTTACTTTTTAAACATATAAAAACGTATAAAAAATTAAAAATCCTAATTATGGTCAAAAAGTTTGAGCGCTTTACTAAACTCTCGTACGCTTCGGCGAGTGCACGAGGACTGCCAATACATCTTGTATGAGATACGCATTAATACGCCTGACGCGTGAAACAAAAGATAGTTCATAGAAATGTACCGAGTAATGAGTCGGTTCTCGAGCGCCGCACGAGCGGCCGAAGATTACCGAGAGCACCCGATGTATGACGAATTGAGTCGGCCGGCCGCGGCATGATTGACATCTCGTTATGTTTTGCTGATTTTTCTAATTTTAATATTTTAGTAAAGTGACCCACCAGTTTGATTACCCACCAGCCGCCACTGGTCACTTTCCTCTCCATATAATGTGTAGCTCATTGTCTTTAATATATTGTGTCTAGTGTAATTACACACTCGTGTTTCATTAATAGCTACCTGGTTCATTGTTAGTTTTCATCTAACACTTGATGATCAGCCGTCATCTCCTGATGGATGAATCTCAAGTACAGTCCAATAACACCATCTGTAATACATAATACAATATATTAATACTGTTCACAAACTATATTGTTCATATATAAAGACATACAAAGGAATATACAGTAATACCCCGCTTAACGCGAACCCGTTGTGCGCGGTTTCACTATAACGTGATTTTCATAAATTTATTCAGGTTGGGACATTGCAGAGTATAGACAATAATGATTACCGTGTCTTGAACGTGTGTCAAACGATTAAAAACAGTGTTTGGTGTTAGGAACGTATTTTACAAGAACATAAACGATACCAAACGACAATACATGTATTTTTTCGTAAAAAATAGGGGTACCTATGTATTGTATAGTGTTCTTAGAATTAAAGTGATTGATTAAAATGATTTTTATATTTGTGTATTAAATTTTGACTGTGTTTAATCGTAAACCTCGATATACGCGACTTTCTTCCGAACGTATCCCTCGCGTAAAGCGGGGTATTACTGTATAGCACATATATCTATAAAAACTTGTTTGGAAAACATATAATAACTCAATTATTAACTTTAACAATATTTTTAATGTCTCAATCCAAATAATTGAGTGTACTATAAAAATGGAATATTGACTTATTTTATAATATTCTATATGTTCATATCTGGAATAATTTTTACTGACTTGGATAACAATCCTTCAGCAGATAAACAACTGCAAAAAAAGTCTTAGATAATATAAAGAAGAGTTTAAAAACTCTTAATAATAAAATAATAATATTAAATATTCAACAGTGCATACCGTCACACTACTATTGTACATCAGCTACATACACTTCTCTTCATAGAAGGTTTCCTCTCGTCCGCAGACCACGTCCTAACAGACGCTCCACCAACTGCTTCTACCCTCATCTTGAATTATATATTCACGGGTCCTGGAACTTTACGAATGATTCTATTTTATATAGAGTATAAAAAACCGCAAATAATACACATAAAACAAGATGAAGCTACACCACATACTTATACAATATGTTATATGAATATCCATTTACATTCATTCATTATTTACTTTAAATTCAATTGATATAAGTTAATTTTATTGTAATATTGATTTTATATTTGAAATTCAATTTTAATCTATTTAATTTCATTATTTAATATGGCTTATATTTATTATTGGATTAAATTTCATTTATTTTATATTTTAATTGTATTAACTTGTTGGAATTCAATGTAATTATTGGAACAAAATATCAAATAAAGATTATGTGACAAACTCCCTCAGATAGACCCAAAGAGAATAGAAATAATGTAGAAATAATTTAGGTACACAATAGTCAGAAATTATGAAAGTGATGAATAAAAGAAAGAAAAAGTATGTAGAATGGAAGGCCCTAATGAGTAAAAAACTTGAATGAAAGAATAATAGTAAGAATAAACAAGGGCTCTGACCAGTGGCGGCTGGTGGGTTGTCGAACTGGTGGTGCACTTTAATAAAATATTAAA